ATTGGGGCCCCCCCCCCCCCCCATGTAACTTAAACAGCCTCAACTTCTGGAAAGGCTTTCTACAAGATTTTGTAGGATGTCTGTGGGAATGTGTGCCCATTCATCCAAAAGAGCATTGTGAGGTCAGGTACTGAGGTGAGACACAAACCTAGCTCACAGTCTGCACTCCAGTTTATCCCAAAGCCGTTCAGTAGGGTTGAAGTCAGGGCTTTGTGCATGCTGCTTTAGTTCCTCTGCACCAGACTCATAAACCCATGTCTTTACAGTTCGGTCTTTGCACACCGGGGCATAAAAGGGCCTTCCTTAAACTGTTGCCTTTATGGTTGGATGCTCTCAGTTTTCCAAAATTTGTTGTACGCTGTATTCTTAATTGGAAAATCAGTCATTTTGAGGGGTGAGCACATACTTTCAGCTATAAATATAGACGTAAGGGTCAGGTGTCCTCAACATTTTGGTCATATAGTTTATAATTTTAACAGCCTCTATCTTGGAGTCTTATCATTTGACATGCAGTTCTCGCTAAAGGTAACTTATGCTTTTGCATCTTTTTAATATATGCTCAATTTGAGTTGCCCGGGTTTGTGACGGGTTTAAAAATGGCCTGGCCAGGAAGGGGGTCTAAACACCTGGTCTTGAAGTGGTTAAACAGCCGTCACAGCCTCCTTGTTTCTTTTAGGAAACATTTACTTTAATACACGGAAAGCATTTTTTACTTTATTTTCTATTTATATTTTCCTATGTAAAAAATATATTCATAGACTGGATGTGTTTAAACTCATGATGTATCTATATGTGTACATAATCAATCATTCTGTGGACATAGAAATGTGCTTTGGTGCAGGTATATAGTCTATCAACTGTGCTCTAAGTATACAGTATACTGCACAAGATTGAACTGGTCCTAAGACGACTTTATGTACATTTTCACTTTTTTGGTTTCTAGAAACACAAAGAAAGAACTCAATGATATTCGGTTTGAGTTTACTCCTGGAAGAGGTAAGACGGATTTTATTGTCTTTAAAATTTTATTGTCTTAAAATTTAAAATGTACATTTATGAATACTTCTGTTACACTGTATTCCATACCACCTCTCTAGTTTATATAAAAGGATATTACACATTATAGATATAAGGTCATATGACATTCACTCTCTGCCAACTTAATGAATTTTTATTTTCTAGATACAGCCGATGGTGTGTCCCAAGAACTGGTCTCCGCTGGCCTTGTAGATGGACGAGACGTAGTAATAGGTATTTTTTATTACTTTTACAAATTACTATGACATTCCACTATTCAGTGAAAAAAGACTAACTTAAAGGTTCATTAACAAGTGTTTAATAATTCACCACCCCCCTGAGTGCAGCCCACCTGGCATAATACTTATTCTCCCCCCATCAACCCCCCCAGATCAGAAATCTTTACCTTCCTACAATCCACAATCTTTCCCAGAGACCTCTGAATGCTGCCATGAGTACAGCTTTCCTGTAGGAATGAATGGCGTGTGTGCCCAGTATGAAGAGCAACCAGCCAGGACCATGTCATAGAAAGATTGGTGGATTGGGGAGAAAGGTACCTATTATCCCAGGTGGTTTTTTTTATCCATAGCCCTGTATACAAGGTACAATTCTAGTAAGGCCAAATGCAGACCAGATCCGGTCAGGTTTCTGCACACGCAGTGCAGTGGGTTGTGCCGCGTTTTAGACGCGTTTTTGATGCGTTTAGGGCCGGTTTTGGTAAAAAAAAAAAAACAATTTTTTTTTTAAAGTTTAACATGGGCTTTCAGGCACTTGCATGCGTTTTTGATGCGTTCCAGACCATATCCAGAGCAGGTAAAATAGGGCTTGCCGCATTTTTTTCATCCGGTCTGGATCTGGTCTGGATCCGCACGCTGCGATGTGAACTGGAGGTCAAAATACTATAGGAATACATTGGACGCAGTTTTGATCCGGTCTGCACCTGCTCTGGTCCGGATCTGCTCCGCGCTTGGTGTGAACAAGCCCTAACTCATAGCTTATACAGTGCTTTCCTATGTTGCTGCTGACTGAATGTAGTGATGGGAGGTAAGTATACTCATGGGGAGTGTGGCATTAAAGTGAAATCATTGCTATGCCCTTTCTTTTTTATTGGTTAAAGGTGTTATAAATTAAATTATAGTGTGTTGTGGTTATGATTTTGCAGGGTAATGAGTCCGTAGTAGGTCTATCTTGTCTGTCTCCTCCTAATCTAGATATTTTCTGTTTCTCACCCAGTTGCAGCTAATTTACAGAAGATTGTGGAAGAGCCACAGGCTAACAGAGCCGTCACCTTCAAGTTGGTAAGTCATTGGAAATGGCTACTTAGGCGCCTTTCACATGAGCGGTCCAATCAGGTCCGCCTGACAGTTTTTCAGCCAGAACAAATCGGATGATCTATGCAAGTCTATGGGCAAGCAGCCGTGTGTAAATGGACGGGCGTCTGTTTACACCCAGTTGGCCCCGGCTCCGGCTAGGTTTGGAAAAACAAATGGGTTAGAGATCCGCTTCAATGGACTGGGGGTAAGCTGAAGTAAACGAACACGTCTCTGCTTACTTCCAATTCCTCATAGACACACATTAGGTTCGTCAGTTTCAGTATTTTCCTCCATCGCAAGATGGAGGAAAAAACTGTATGGACACGGATGTCACAGCGCTGACGTCCGCTTCGTACTGCTGTGATCAGGAGAGGATCTGTTGCTGGGTGAATAGTTTCTGCAATGCTATTGTCAGCTTTCATGTGAACTCATGATGCTGGTGGAGTCAGTGTCTTATCACCCTAATTTTCAGGATTTCTTGTTCTGGTATCTCACTGATGCTGAGAATGTGGATCAAAAGACCTGAAAGCAGCACAAAGGATTCTATAGCAAACAGTTGTTAACAGGACTTGCGGTTAAATTAACAAAACATTTTTTGTGACTATGGCTGTAAAGTTTAACTGTAAAAGTTTGGCCGATTACCATTACATGGTCCTGCAAAATGTCTCATCTCCTAGTGTCTTATTTAAGATAAATCAAACAGGCAAAACTATTCAATTGACCATACACTATGTGATCCCCATTGGTAACGTGAAAGATTGGAGCATCCCTTGCAACAATGGCATAGTGTCAAAGGTGCAACATAGCTGATACTGGATGCAGTATTTTTCAGAGACATGTTCTGTTCTACTGGATATACACTGAGTGGCCAGTTTATTATGACCACCTGACGTTTGTAGGCAAATTAGCTGTAATTTCACGCTGAAGTTGCTAGAGGGCCAGACCATTATAAATAGGGAAGCAGGTTGTTTACCACGACAGTAGAAGTGATTTTGTTCTGAAGATACGGGTAAACAACGCGATTTAAAAGCCTTTGAACGTGGGATGATTGTTGGCGCTCGGAGCCATGGAGCGAGTATCAGCAAAACAGCAGAATTCATTAAATGTTCAAGAGGGGCTCATTGTTAAAGTGTTTAAAGACTGAACTGTCAGCCGAAAATCTGGGTCTGAACGTGCGAATTGTGGCCGTCAGCGACTAGTCAATGTTAGGGCAGAACGGAGAGTGGCAAGACTGGTACACGACAACAGAAGGGCAACAGTGCAGTGTCAGATTCCTCGCATCACCTTTCAACATCTCGTGGAGTCACGAGGCGGCCCAACGAAGCCATCTCATGGAGTCATCTCGTGGCCCAACGAAGTACTGATGGGGTGGTCATAATAATCTGACCACTCAGTGTATGCAATGCATATTGGAATGAGTGCAGGTGCTGCCACCGCTCCCTGTGCTATAGTTCCACTTTAATTGAAGGTGGTATAATGGATTTTTTTTCCCATGACATCAAGTTGACACCTTGCCATAAAATTGAAGGATAACAGCAGAGTTGTATCCTTTTGTGGTTGTGTGTCATTTATTACAATTGTATTGCTGCTGTGTTCACAGCAAGTATCATTTTTGTATTAATAACTGTGTATTTGCATTGTTTCTCTCTGCAGGCCTCTGGGGTGGATCCCTCTGACATTCCGGACGATGGAAAACTCATAGGATTTGCACAGCTCAGCATCAGCTAAGCTGCCATTTTTATGAGCTGCTTCTTAAGGAAACATCTACACCTTCATCTTTCTAACGCTTCTCTTGGCCTGAAGGACCACTACTGCCAAAGAATCAAAACTCTGGCTTGTTTTGGAGCTGTAACAACACGTATTAATTTCTCTCTTCACAGATGTCTCTAACTTAGTGTAACACACTGAGAGGTCAGAGCTTTGTAACCGACAGCGAACAAAAGTGTTTCCATACATCATTCATTTGGATTTCTTTTCATGTGAAACGCTCTGGTTGCCTTTGTAAGTGCTGACGGGGCCGTCAGTAGTTTGTGCTGGCTGCCCCTCTGTCACTGTATAGGCTCAGCCAGATCTCCTTGTACCTGTTTGTTACTGTTGCCTTATATACTACTGAGGATGGAGATATGGGTTTCTACCACTCTTAAAACACACACAAGGCAAAGAGAAATGAATTTTGGGATCTGATTTTTATTGGCTTTAATTTAAAGTGAACAGAAAAATAGTCTAAATAAAAACATAATTAATTTGAAACTGCCTCCCGTTTGGTTTTGTATGCTTTGTTCCCAACTTGAAACTGGCCGTGGAGGCCAGATTGCTCTTTTTGCGCCTGTACAATTTGATTTTCCGCCAGGCAAACTGCTAAATACACATTTGTAAACCATCTTGACCACCAAAGCCATTTTTGTGACAAATACGTACCCCTGCCAGACAACTACTTTCTTTGTTAGAATTAGGGAATACAGTGGTCTCCCCTGCAGCTTGCTGATTGGACAATGACACTGTTGTAGCACCACTCTCTGCTCTCCCCCTGTCAGCATGTTCCATGTGGGCACATGTGCATACAACAGAGCCTGGTTGTACTCGGGTACTTAAGCTAATCGTATGTAAAAATACATTTAATGTATTTTTGTGCAAGATGTCTGTGTCTCTTTAAGGCGATAACACTCACCATAGCAGCAGTTTTAACTATCTTTCTACAGAACGTTCACACACATACCCCCACACAAACGAAGCTTAGTTTATCAACTCATTGGATTAGTTGTGACAGATTAACCATTACTATATAAGTATATAAGGGTATAAGTATATATTGATTACTACCTATAGCGAGTTAGTAAGTGAGGGATTGTTCTCTGCTGTAATGTAACATTGTTATGCTGAGTAAGTGAACTGTGGACATCCAGAGGTCAGAGAGATTAGAATATCCTGTAAATAAATGACAAAGCTAATTGAACAAGTAGATCAGACTTTCTCCTGCTAATGATGGCAGTGCATAGGAAGAGTCCAAGGGTTCTCCATATAAACACTATTACAAGAGAAAACAGTAGTGTAACCTTTGGCAACCAATAAGATTAATCTAAAGTTTGTTGTATTTTTTTTTTTTTACCTCAAGGCATGGTGTATTAATTAGTAATATGTAACAGGGCAATGTACAAAAACTATCAAAACTATAAAAGAAGAAACCTGTAGATTGAGGTATACACAAAGGAACATTTTGTACAACAACTGCATTGCAAAATGTAAAAAAAGAACATATCCAATAATAAAAAAAGCTTGAAAGCTGAACTCCAGGAATTACACAAAAAAATACCCTTACAGTGCCCCCCATAAGTGATAAATACTAATTAAAGGAGAACTATGAGGTGAGTGCTTTTCACTCACCTCATAGTTCTCACCGACCTGTGACAATGAGACTGTCACAGGTCGGCTCAGTAGATCGGGAGGTGAGCGAACACATACGGGGGTTCGCTCACCTCCTCAATCCTGTCACGGCTCTCTGCCGTGACAGGGGAGGGGCTGGATTCCCACCGCTCCGATCCGCCAGCGCTGACTGGCGGATCGGATGGGGTAGGGGGCGGGTACAGCTGTCTCTAACTCTAGATAGGCGAGCCAGCTGTCAGTCACGCAGCTGGGCGGATCCAGACATAATTGTCGGGATCTGCTTCAGTTGCGGCGTCTCAGTATACCGCGAGCAGTAGCTGACGGGGCTACAGCTCGCGGTATAATGAGCCTAGGGTGACGGGAGGACGCTAGTTTGTAGCATTGTACCTGGGACGGGGAGGGACTATCCTGAAGCGTAAGGGAGAAGAGGTGATCACCAAAGCCTACTGGAGTGAGAATTAACCACTTCCCATCCGGCCGCTCTAATTAAACGGCCGCACGGTGGCTTCTTCAATGCGGATGGCCTTTTTAATAGGTCCTCTCCTGCTTGTGCACACGAGCAGGATACTGTTTGCATTTTAAACCGCTGGCGAAGCGAGGGAAGGCTTAAAAAATTATCCAAGTCAGTAAAAATGAATGAATGCATCAGCAGCTGCTACTGTTTTCAGCCATTAATTTTTCATTCATGTTTACTACTATTTACTTTCCTTTCTCTCTTGTATGAAGAACAGGAGGGACTAACAATCTAAACAGTAGCATGTGATCGCTATGCTTGGTTTTCACAGCGATCACATGCTGCAGAGTCTCGTTGATTGGCTCTATACATTATCTGTGTACGGAGCTGTCCAATGCTTGGTACACAGAGATTAGTGGGATCATTGATAAATAACAGTCCACCACGCCATTTATAAACTCATCACGGTAGAAAATTGGTTAAAGAATAAAGGGTAAGCAGTCAAACTGTTGTAATGTTGTAATGTTTACTAGGAGTAGAGTTGAATTCATCCAGTCATCACATACTTTATCACATTTTACATATCTCCTGTCATGATGTTGGTGTGTTTATATATTTTTCTCAAGTTCTGGTGGTTTTCAAACTTCCAAATGTTTGAGGGGAAAAAATAAGAATACATTTAGATATACTTTATACAGTCCCCATAAAAAGCATTCACGTCCTGGAAAGTGTCATGTTTTATTGCCATTGAACATTAAATCACAGTGGTTTTAAAGTGATTTACATGAATTGCAATAACAGAAAAAATACACAAAATAAGTAATAATATGGCATTCCCAAATCACTGGTACAGACAAATCTTTGCCAAAGTCATGTGTATATTTGAGGGGTTTCAAGTGATTGTAGCATAAATACAGGTGTCTCCGCGAGATCCAACTAATGGTAAGTCAATATCATGATATAACCTTCACCATGAACACAAAAGAACGTTTCAAGCAACTCCATAATAAAATGATTGAAAAGCACATATTGGGATGGGTACAAAATAACTTCCAAATGACTGAATATCCCTTGGAGTACAGGTAAATCGATCAGTGAGAGTATAGCACAGCTGTAAATTTGCCAAGAACCGACTATCTGAATATAGGCAGATGAATGGTGGTGGAGGCCACAGAGAGCCCTATGTCCTCTCTGATGGATCTACAACCTCCGTAGCAGAGACTGGAGAGACTATGCATACAACTATTGCATGGGTGCTTCACCAATCACTTCTTTAAAAGAGTGTCAAAAAGAAAGCCACCTAACTAAAATTCAAATGAAACCTCATCTACACTCCTACACTTTGCCAGAAGGCACATGGAAGACGGTTCTGTGGTCTGAGAAGACCAACGTTTTGATTTTGGGCCATCAGACTAAATCATATTTGGTTTTAAGCAATGAAATGTGGTGGTATCATGCTGTGGGGATGTTGGATAGGGTAGGATGAGTACAGAGATCCTACATAAAGATACATTTTGATGCAGTCTGCAAGAAACCTGAGCCTTGGGCCAAGATCTCAAGCCAAAAAAAAACAATACGTGCCAATCCCCATGAAGTCTTACAAAGTTTGAGTAGTTTTGGAAAAAATATAATTGAGGTTAGCAGAAGTGCAAAGCCAACGGACCTATCCACACCACTTTCAAGGTGGTACCGTAATTGCTCAGGATCACTGGGGCTGAAAGTCCTGAAGCTTGTGTTGTGTAAGTTCCTCCTTCCCTGGTTCATACATCACCAGTCACATTCAAACTTCCAAGTCAGCTTTGAATCTGATTGTTAACTGGTAGACATTTCTTAGTACTGATATTTTTGTTTACATCAGGCTTTCTGTATATGGAAGACTCCGCAAAAAGATGTGACGGCTTCTGTGATTCTTCAGTACATCACTACAGGGTTTCTTATAACACTACAATGTCAGAACATTCTACAATAATTTCACTGGGTATAACTGAATGGAAAGGCTCCATTGTTTCCTGGTAGTTTTTGGACTGTGGGGAGGCGGAGGGGATTGACGGACACAGAAACAGAAGTCACTCCATGCAAACACAACCAAATTTAAGCCACGAGACCTATCAAGTCTGGAAAGCTAATGCCATACATGATATAATGTCAAGGTGCAATTTTATACTAGAGAATTGTGCAATGTATTGTTTTTTGTATTAATGCGCACCTTGCTCAACATTGTATATTACAGAGTAGAACTTATGCTTGTACTTTTTACAATACAGTCTGGACAAAAATGCCCTAAATTAGTAGTTGGGGTCTCTTTATCTTTATTCTACCTAACCCTCCATTAATATGAAACCATTTTTGATTCGTAAGGCACAGCTTTGTACTTGCCTAGATTGTCTATGTTAGTCTTAAAGGGCTGGCTCACTTACTGTACTGTTTTTTCATTACCATGTAGTTGCACAGTTGAAGATCTCTATAATGTGTGCATGAGAAAACACTAATTACCACTTGTTACTCTGTGAATGTAATCTAAAACCTTGGTTCTCAACTGGTGGGTCGTGACCCAAAAGTGGGTCGCGACCCAGTGTTCAGTGGGTTGCTGCGTGCCTTCTACTTTTCTAGGTGAGAGGCTCCTCAGCCTCCCCCTAGTGCAGCACTGTCAGTTCTCGTGCCAAGCAGCCATTCAAAATATGCTGCCTAGTGCCAAGTTTCAGCTTGAGGTGGGCTGAGGGGTATGGCCGTGAGGGAGCTCCATCCATATGTGCATTGCTTACAGCTCCCTCACGTGTTTTATAGAGGTGCCTGGACCGGAGTGACGTCACATTCTGGCTCTCGGCACCTCTACAGGGCACACAAGGGAGCTGTACAAGCAATGCACATGTGGAAGGAGCTCTGCTACAGCACAGCAGTCAACACTGGACCCCAGGCTGAATATCCACTCCAATTCTCGTGCATTCCATTGCAGTGCGACTTGGGTCACGACTGAATGGCCAAGGACAAATGCGGGTCCTGAGGTTACACAGGTTGAGAACCACTGATCTAAAACATGCACCCCAAGGGGGGCCTTGGGAACATGGCCTGGCCACCACTAATGTATGTGATGTGTATAACCTTTGAGCATTCATTTTCAGTAGTTTACATTTTGCTTAAACATTTATTTTTACTTTGTTCACACCATTGGGCAAACAGACACTGGAACTAAAAGTCAGACTTTGCCTTTATTAAGGTAACTCATTGACACGGATTAAATATTAATGCCTGGCCGTCTGGTTCGTGTCTTTTCGTTTAGACTTTAATCTAGGTCACTATGACAGAGTTTGGGGAAATCCTGAAAAATGTTGGGGAATATGGTCGATTTCAGAAAATATTGGTTTTTATGCTGTGTTTACTTAGTTTCTTCAATGCCTTCCACATGTTTGGACAAGTGTTTATGGGAATATCAGTGCCACATCATTGCAATACCAGCTGGATTTTAGAAAAGTATCCAAATGTAACTGAGGAACATCAGTTGAATTTAACCATCCCTCGTAATACAGAGGGCAGCTATGAGCAATGCCTCATGTACACCCCGGTGGACTGGGATATGGAATCCATTGAAAGGTATGGACTGAACAGCACACAGGTCTGCCAGGATGGATGGGTGTACGACACGTCACAGCAGAAGTCAACGCTGGTCACAGAGGTCTGTTCTAATATATGTGATAAAAATAGCTTTTTACCTATTTGTCTAGATAAGAAAATCATGCCGTCCTTATTGTATAAAATTATATTTGCACCATTAATATGAGGGTATGGAATATTGTGAAGCCAAATATCTATTTCAACTTTTTCTTATGCTTCTTATTTTTTGCACTATACATACTGAAGATGTACAGACTGATTCTGTTCCCTTTCTGTGGTAGTAAATACACACATAAAAGCATAAAAATAAATTTGGAGCAGTTTCCCATAGTAACCAATCGGCTTCTTTCTTCAGTTTGTTTAGTTAAGATTTGAAAATGAAAGAGAAAAGCTGATTGGTTGCTATGGGCAACTGTTCCAGTCTTGATCAATACCTCTTATGTGTTGGATTGGAGAGCATGAGAGTTTTTGCATAGCAAACTGGACCAGTTCAGGTCTTTAGATGTTGTCAGGGACCATGCAGCAGTCAAACAAGCCATGTCAAATTCATGTCAAGCCTTGTCAAAGACAAAGCGTCAGTCACAGTGCATATATGGAACAATCAACGCTATTTATAAGTATTTGGGGATACAAATTTGAGCATCTGTGTTGGTTCTGGAAACCTCCAACTAGAGCACATCAGTGGCAGTATGTCAGAGTTTCTTTTCAAATACAAAAGGCACAGGTACCTCGTAAAGCAGAAGAATCATCCATAGCAAATTATGTCTCCCACAGATGACATCTCATCTCTAAAACAATGTCGACAAGTAAGAAGGATATGGCAACTAGAAAAAGAGTGAAAAGCAGGAACAGATGCTCAGAAGCTAATGAGGCTAGATCAGTTATTAATATACTAAACATATGTTACAAATAGAAAATGTTAACAAGTAAAGTTGGGCTTTTAAGTAAATGTTGACAGATATTGTAAAAAGCTAAAAGAAAAAAAAATACCAAGGGTGGCATGCAGAGATCATAAGGCCACTTTCACACGGGCTGATCAGAAGGGAATCCATGCACGCATCCCCTCCTGATCGGAGCAGTATGGATCACATGTTACTGTTGTGACATCCGTATCTGTCCATTTTTTTCCTCCAACTTGTGATGGAGGAAATAACTAAAACTGTCGGACCCAATGGGAAAACCGGATGTAAACAGACACGTCCATTTAAATCCGATCCCCATAGACCAACATGATTAACCCTGATCTGGCACGATCAGGTCCAGGGAAAAGGAAGCCTGTTCTGTTTGTATTTCCGGACATGATCAGAGTCGGGAATAACCTGGTGTAAACGGATGCCCATCCGTTTAGACCCGTCTGCCCATCGACTAGCATTAGGCATCCGAGCAAGTCCACCTGAAAAACTTAATAGGTGGACTTAATCGGATTGCTCATGTGAAAGAGGCCTTACAGTTTAACAATGTCTAAAGACAATGCACTGTTTCCAAGGAAAGCAATTTGTATGCAGCAATGGCGCATTCTTTAACAGTGAACCGTGCAGCCACTTGATTTGCTTAGGGGTGCTGGGTGATAGGGAGATGCAATGCCATTGAGTGCTTGGGGTACTGAGCTCTTCCTAGGCCTGAATGCAGACGCTGTCTACTTTTTAGGATGCTGGGATGCTTCCCTAACTCAGCGCTACCAGATATGATGTATGCTCCTGGACTGCATCGCCTGCTAATCTAAGATAAGTGTCCAGGGGGTTTAGTTAGCATGCGGAGGGAAGGGAGTCTTTAGAATTAGTTTGCCTTCAGGCCAGGTTTACACCAGCGATTTTGCTTTGAAAACCACTCAAAAACCGCAAAATTTTCAATGCATAGAGATGTCTATGGGACCAAAAGCACATGACAACCACCCGAAAATAGCTCCTGCACCTTTTTGCGTGACGCAGGCAATTTCACCCGCGGAACCAAACATCAACAGCCTCTATTGACTTCAATGTAAATCTGTATTTTGCACAATTTAGCCGTGCAATAAATCGCCTAGGTGTGCACCAGTCAGATCTATGCTTTGCAGTAATGTGCATTTTGCTGCATATTACATGAATGCCCAGTAACACTGGGCACTTGGCCAGTTGCAGTTAGGGTGCCATTTATTTTACACAGCACAGGAGAAGGGCACACTTGTAAGATGAATGTGCCATAATAAATACTGTGCATAGTTGCACATTATTGCAAAAACCCACCCAGCATGCAGTGGTTCACTACTACTATAAATCTTCAAAATCAAGCAGTGAACGGTCTATGAAGTTCCTGATACTGACATCCTAATGCCATCACGGCAGAGGAACTTGAGTTCTCAATTGAATACGAGTACACTGATGGCACCACACTTGTAGTCCATTCATTCTTCCTCCTGTCCCTGTTACTGAATGTCTGCATCTCGGTATGGATGGGAGGAATCACAGTTGCAATGCTTTATTGGCTCTAATGCAAAAAATAAATGCACATTTTTTCTTTTATGAAGAAATGTGCATTTATAATTTTTTCTAAAAAGTGGACTTTACCAGGCCTGATTCACACCTAGGTGACAGCGGTTTTTTCACGGCTGAATATTTTCGCGTGCTTAAAATGCACATACATTAAGTCACATGTTTATTTATGAGCAGATTGTGACACATTGACGTAAATGGCAAAAACGTGTGTCAAAACGCACAAAACCAATTGCAATGCATGTTTCTAAGTGTTTTCTATGGACTCTATGAGGACAAAACGAGTTGTAATCTGCCAAAAAGAAGCTCATGCACTTTTTCCAGATACAGGCGTTTTGCTTATTGTGACAAAACGCTCAGGTGTGAACAAGGGGCCATAGGAATAAATGGGTTTTTTTGGGGGGAAGCTTTTTTTTTTTTGCGATGAGTCAGCTGTGATAATACGCTCAGTGGGAACCAGGACTTAAGGTATGGGTAAGAATGTGACTCACACAGCATCTCCCATGTCGCAGTGTTGGTGACTCATGATTGGCCCAACGCTATTACATGGGGGTGAGGAAAGAGTTCATAGCTATAGCTATATTTGCTGCTGGGGGTAGTAAAGTGACCTTTGCCCTGCATGGGTAAAGGAAAGGGCGCTCTTGGACACATTGTTATCCAGAAAATTATATAACTGGGGTTTACTTATGCATATTTATCAATAAATCCATACATTACAGTACAAATGCATAAACTAATCAAACTATATCTTTTTATTTAGTTTAATCTTGTCTGCCACAGAAAAGAACTAACAGATATATCTCAGTCTGTATACATGGCGGGACTCCTCATAGGATCCATTATGTTTGGACCGTTAGGGGATTGGTAAGAAAACGTCTTTATTTCAGTTTAATCAATCATTACAGAAGATAAATTGTTTCTCTAAGAATGAGTTAAAGTTCAATTGAGCCCTTTTTAATTACAGTAACATAGTCAGACTGCATAAACAGTCAAGGATGAGTCAGTGTTTTTTTAAATTATTGCCACTTCAGGACCGAATTCTGTTCTTTCAACTAGGTCGTTAACAAAATTGGACACTAAGCTAGGAATAGAGAACATCAGTAAGACGTGGGGGACCCCCAAACCAGGGAAGCCGAAGTGATCCAGACTTCAAGTACCTTAATTACATGCACAATACCTAATGTATATACCCAAGGAGTATTAAACCCAATATATATATGTAATAGTAGGAAAAGAGATAACCCCCATAGGGATACAATCCTTGGGAAAACAATACACAAATAACAATAACGAATTATCAACATTTTTTATCATTGTATATTAAAAAGATAATCAAAATAAACTAAGTGTGTCCTTCATTTATAATCTAACACACATCTATATTAGAGAACATCAGCTCTAATATACAGGACTTTACTTAGGTTTGCATATTTTAAATATTAATGTACAGTACTGAACACTGACTGACTGAGGGAATGAGACTGAGAAAGGGTGAAGCAAGATGAGTGCTTTAACACGCTTCCTGTGCTCCAATCAACAACACTGCTCAGGCAGCTTGACTGCCTGGCTTCATTACAATTATAAAGATTAAGGGTTTAATTGGGGTTTATGCTCTTTTCTTTGTATGTGTGCATTAATTTACAGTGGCCAGTGCCCTAAAATAACCCTGTACTGAGAGAAATAGGTAAACTGCCATTGTGGAGCGCTCCTTCTTTAGGGCTAGATGTCCGGCCTCCAAGCTGATCTAAGGGCTTTAAAGTGCAAATGAAGCCAGTGCCCCTCTCTATTTGTCCTGGTGACCATACTGACTACCAAGGATTTCCTTATCTTTGGAAGAATTTCCTCTCACTTCCTGTTGTGGATATCAGACAGGAAGTGACGGTAAATCTCCCCAATGGGACACAAATGGCAAAAAGGCTTATAGGGGTTATAACCCCCCCTTACTCTATCCAAAGCGAAACGTTTGCCTTCTGTTCTACTTTAATACTCTCTGAGTCACGTACCTGGAATAAGAAATGCACATTAAGAGTCCTGACTTGGCTTCCTGCATACGTGTTCTGAGCCCGAAAGAGACAGCCAGTAAACTAAAATTTTTAGATGAAGGGGGAAAATGGTCCACTTTAAGGGAGACTGTACCCCAGTTTAAAAAAAAAGAGTTTGCTTATTATGTGGTAGACTTTCTCAAGGTTCCTGCCAATATTGGCAAATCCTGGTGATGTGAAATGTCAAATTTAGTGAGACTTCTCAATCTTACAATGGAAGCCAAGTGCTGGATACCATTCTGATATGACTTGACAAAAGGGGCATAGACCTGAAAGGATGTTGTGTAACCCCAAGTTTTCAGAATTTGCTAAAGATGGGCATAACCTGAAGGAGAGTTCACAGCAGACATTGATACCAACTCCTTATTTTATTTACTAGAGGATCTGGTAACATAGTCCCAGGTAAACCGTTTCTAGGGTTAAATTCCCGCAGTGCCTCATCCGCACGAGGCATACACAGATATTTTATATTTTTTACATCTTTCATAAAATCTTTATTTTACAAATAAACATTTACTTCAGGCTGAATCTATGACACTCAGTTTACAGAGCATGCTAAGGTTTCTATCAAGAAAGCCAAGCATTTCCTACATGCCTTTTGGCTGCTTCTCTACATTAAAGCAAGGTGTTCCTGTCTCTGCTAGGAGAGATGGGAGGTTGTGTCCTTTCTCTTACACATTAAGAGCTATGTTTTAAGATACTTTTTATTTGATTTTTTCCAAATTGAAAAAACCCAACAAAAAACAAACACAATTATTACCAGCATGTGAGGGGACATGAAAGGTTCACTGCATATTATAACTATTAATAATCATATCATCTTTTAACAAGTTGAACAAGTGAACAGTTCAACAGGGAGTGAACAGTCCCATTCCACAGATTGTTATATGAACAAAGCAGGCTTTTATCACTGGACAGTGGACACAGAAGCTTGAGTGCTCAGAGCAATACCCATCTGCTAGCATCACTGCTTTTAGCCATAACTTTTTTTATGTGACTGGCTCTAACCTGGCTTAAGATACTGTGTGAGTAAAGTTACATGAGATTACATTATTTCTACTGATAATGATAAAAAAATGCATGGTTGATAATAACTATACAGGGCAAAGCTGTCTGTTTAATTCTGCTACCCATAGGCCCAAGCCTGCTGTGCCTAAAGGTAAATCTGGCCTTGCATATTAAAGGGACACTAAACTCAGGAGTTAAATCTTAAAAAGGCATTACAGTACCTTAACTATTAACAAAAATGTATCATATTTGTGTATCACTCGGCTGTAGATCCTCAAATCATCTCTGAATTGGTGCTGACACTGTCCTTCCTTCTGGAGGGTGGCAACTTTTGTTCCCCATGGTCCCTGTGATGGACTAAAATCTCAATTAATTTGTAGTGAGATTGTAGTCCATCACATGAGTGAGTTTGGAGTGGTGACTACTTTACAACACACACAGGGACCATGGGAAACAAATGTAGCCACCCTCCAGAAGGAAGGACAGTGTCAGCACCAATTCAGAGATGATTTGAGGATCTATAGCCGAATGATACACAAATAAGATACATTTTTGTTAATAGGGTACTTTTAAGATTTAACTCCTGAGTTTAGTGTCACCTATAACATAATAAGTATATAATATAATATGCACTTAATATAATATAATCCTGTATATATCAGGGATTTGTATTGCTTCTAGAGTTTGAGCTCCAAATCTGGTCTCGTGTCCAGTATAAATCTAATCGTCTTCTAGCGAAAAATCACTTTGAAACGTCAATATTTTTGGAATGAGTAATGCTTTGTTTTGAAGGATTGGGAGACGTCCAGTCATATTAATCTCAATGTTGTTGATGATGGCGTTTGGTGTTGGAGCAGCGTTTGTGTCAGATTTTTACGTCTATACAGCCCTCCGGTGCGTTGTGGGAATGGCCATGTCGGGGGTCCTGATCAACAATCTTGTGTTAGGTAATAGGTGCAAGACTTTTCACTTTACAGTCAATTTGGTGTTCTTCTAATACATGTCATTTTTTTGAAAGCATTTAAAATATTCCCCTGTTTTATTGGGGTCCTTCTTTTGCAGCGGTATGGATTAGTTACCACCCCCCTATGTTCACAAAACTCCTGCGCTAGTGTTTCTTATATTGCTTAAAGTTTACAGTCTGAAAAGTGATGCACTTATTTTTAATAATCCAAAATACAACACAGAATATACATTGTAAACTCTCATGGAATATTTCTTTTTCTGCTCTGACCATTCTTTCCATTCTCTATAATATTGTGAAAGCGAACAGAAAACATGTAACAACATGATTATTAAATATTTTTCATTTCAGTTGCTGAGTGGGTGGGATCGTCTCAGCGCGCCTATGCCACCATCAGCGGCCATGTTTGTTTTGCAGTAGGACAAATGGTTTTGGCAGGATTTGGTTATGGCTTCAGGAACTGGAGGTTGTTGCAGATAGTTTGCTCAGCTCCAACTGCCCTATTATTTTTCTACATCTGGTGAGTAAAATGAAAATGAAACAATGAAAACAGGTATTATCATAAACTGAAGTATCCTGGGCAAAGGAAACGGAGGGCATACTTAAAATGAAATTAAAGTCAAAATAAGCACTGGCCCTGATATCCTGTTTTGGGATGGTTCCTTTCCCTTGCAGGGTCCTATGGAGCCACCCTTGTTTGTGTTGGTAAGCTGTGTGTCTCCACAAACACACAGACACAGCAAAGCAAACCACTTCCCTTTTCCCTGGTCCTCCCTTTTCCCATCTCCCAACTAGTAGAAGGACAGCTGCTGGAGAATTTGCTGTCCCTTGTGATCTTGTACTGGACAGGAAGTTCAGGGAAGTGGACCAGAGAGAGTTGGAGCCAGCTGTTTGAAAGCATAATGCCTCGTTACTGTGTTTGCCTGATGAAGGGACCACTTATGGAAACGTTGCTATTTGCACTGACTCCATGATTGCCTAGCGTCTCAATAAAGCATGTTCTTCACGTTGGACCTAAGAGTGCGGGTGACTTCTTCATTCATAATACTAGTAAGTTGTGTGTCTCCACAAATACAGAAAATTGTAGAAATGTCACCAGCACACCAGTTCTTTTAGGATAGTAAAGCTTCATTTATTGAAGTTTTTTTGTCATATGACCAACAAGCGCTTTCGGGACCACACAGGGTCCCTTCATCAGGCTTTAGCATTGTACGGTCCTGAAAGCGCTTGTTTGGTCATATGACAAAAAACTTCAATAAATAAAGCTTTTGCTATCCTAAAAGGACTGGTGTGCTGGTGACATTTCTAGAATTTTGCTGACATTCGCGGCGCCATCCGCAGTTACTGCGAGCACCCCCCACTACAAGGGACATATCGGTAAGGAGTGCGACAAGGATAGTACTTCTTATCCGCAAATACACAGTCACAGCAAGGCAAGCCACTCTCCTGCTGCCCTCTCCTCTTTCCCCCCCCCCCCCCTTTCTTCTCCAAGCTAGTAGAAAGATAGCCACTTGAGACTGCCCTGCCCCTTGTGATGTTGTAGTGGAGATGGCCACTGTAGACCGCCCTAGGTAAAGCCCACATGTGACCCTGAACATCCATGACTGATAAAACTGAAATCCAATATATAAAAGTAGTGGGCCAGGGAGACTTCGCTTGAGGAAGAAAGAATTAGATGATACTGGATGTTCTTCTGTCAGGAAATGCGGTGGGTTCTATCTGACTTGCTTGCAGCTTCTGATGCACACTAGAAGAAGCTCATAGTGTGCAGTGAAATCAGAGTAAACAATTACATTACAGGAGAGGAACCTGTACAACGGTGCAAGACTGAAGGGATGGTTGAAGTTTAGTTTTAACCTTCCTGTATATTTCTCGAGACTGTGGCTGGAAGCTGGAGGATTAGTGAAAACCTTTACAAACATGGGTAAACATAAAAACTCCATGTAAATATATTCCCTGGTGGTGACTTAACCCCAGAACCAAAAACCAGGAGCATACACGTCTCTAGGACAGGAAGTGAACCAAAACTCACAAAATGGACATAGACAGCAAAAAATAAACTGATGGATTTGAGCTTTTCCCTAATTCATTTAAAACTAAAGAAAAAAATAAATACAAAGTTTTGCCTATACACACACTTTAATGCTTCCATGAGAAGGAAATGTGATTTCGATGATGTCACTGGGGGGCAGTCTTCAACTTCCTGAAATGTTACTCCTTGGCCGATCTGGCTTGTCCTCAGACCTAAGCCTATCTCTGCAACATTTCCAACCTGCCCCATCTGTAAGAACAGCTTTGGATCGTGCTGTTTTCTGTTTCAATGTTTTTATTATCTTGTCAAGTAGAAACAATTTTTCCACTCAAATGATAGAAGGATAAAGAAAACATTTGGGTTTACAGAGAAGGTATCACAAACCTGTGAAGAAAACAGTCCGTTATCAAACCTTCAGTGAAAATTGGCATCACAATACAGTAAAGGTCCATCGTAGCGGTAGATATTGGATCAAGACTCATGTGTGATTAGTCATTAGGAAACATAACTGGCAGACGGCTCAGGATGTGGCTTTATGGTATAGTTAAATTAAAATCTCCGCAGGGTGGCGATTACCTGGAAAGTATGTAATGAAAGAACAAGAAAAGATGGAAGAAAAGAAGAGAACCAAGAGTGATAAGGAGAGGAGAGAAGATAAAAAGAAAGGGGATAGAAGCGAGAAGAATGGTGGGATTTCCCCACTTCAGTCAAATATACAGATAGGTATATAAATGATGCGGGCAGCCAGATTTCTTGGATAATGAAAAACGTAAATGTTTTCTGCACAGTACATGAGAGCAATTTCAGCCAGTATGGGACCCAACAAGAGACTATATTGGATTGTGCAGTACAGTGCAGAAGACCCCATGTGATGGACGGGAAGCGTTCCCTCCAGAACTTCTTTCCTTACCTCTTTCTTTTATCTGCTCTTTCACCCCTTTATGGGCTAATTCATGACCCCTCCTCACTACACCTGTATTCTTTCCATGTAATTGTATTATACTGCCTTGGCAACCAATCAGCTTCTTTCTTCAGTTTGCTCAGGTAAGATTTAAAAATGGTACTGAGAAGCTGGGGATTTGCTGTATGTTGGGTATCTTCTTTATTTCGTAGTTTGCATTTGTGCTGTTACTTTACTTGGAAATATAGAAGTCTTTGAAAGCAAAATTACACTCTTGCAGGATCCTCCCAGAATCTCCCAGATGGCTTCTAACTAAAGGAAAACATAAAAGAGCAAAAGAAATCCTCCAAAAAGCAGCCTCAGCCAATAAAAAGAAGTTTTCCGAGAAATTGCTGACACAGGTATCAGGAATTCTTGTTTGTGCTCAGCATATTGTGTGGTGCAAATGGTTATCGGAAATATGACCTGACATAAAATAGCAAATCTTTATCTTACTGATAGTTTGACCTTGAGACCCATTGAGGGGAATTTATCAAAACTGGAGCAGACAAAATCTGGTGCAGCTGTGCATGGCAACCAGCACGGCAACCAATCAGCTTCTCTCTTTCATTTTCAAATCTTAACTGAACAAACTGAAGATAGAAGATGATTGGTTGCCATGGGCAACTGCTCCAGATTTTGTCTGCTCCAGTTTTGATAAATTCCCCTCATTGTTTTAAAGACACTGTCACCAACTGAAAATATTGCATGTAAAAGCACACACACACACACACAAAAAAAAAAGGTATTTGAAATGCTCACCTGCAGCATTACCTTTCTTTTTTTATTATTGAATAAGTGTTTGTAGAGTTTTAGAAGATAACAGTTCTACAAACATAGTACAAACAATGCTGGTGACAATAGGTAACATTAACAACAAAGTGTGTCTTTCCTTTCGATACATTATTCTTTATTCACTTGCAATGTCACTACTCCAGGAAGAGTCAATTCCCTATCACAGCCCCTTCCCTCCTTGTACACCATAGCCCTCTCCTCTTTTGGCAGTGTCTAATTACTCTTTGTGCTGGCCTAGCTCCTTCACCTCCCTACATAACTTTTGAAGTAGCTAGCGGGGGAGGAGGGAAGAGGAATACTATAGAGTGGCATTTACGTGACAGCTCTGAGTCAGTTGAGGTGGCTGACATCACATCCAAGATGGCGGTGCCTGGCAGCACCTTCGGCCGATCCTTCGGCTATCTTCGGCCCCAGGGCCTCTTCGGTTCAGTAGAACTAAAGGGGTGCTGTACGGGCTATTCACAATAGCGCATATGCATCGGCTCGGCTGAGCCGTGCTGAAAGCCGAAGTTGGCCGAGCGGCCGGCCATTGACCGGCTGACAGCCTGCTTCTGACAGCTAGGCGGAGCCAGCCGTGATCTTACAGAGAGATCAGCGTCCCTGGTTACCTGCTAACCAGGGACACAGATCTCCAAACAGCTAACTCTCCCGGGCGATTCCGTGTCAGAATAAAGAAAAAAAAGACACAGCAGTGTTTCTCTCCTGGGCAACCGGGAGCAGGAGGCTCCCAGAGCGCTCCGGAGAGGTTTTCTTTTCGTTTTTTTTTTACGGCAGCAGAGCCGCCGGACAATAGGAAACTATTGGGCGGAGCTAGCTGTCACTGCTAGCTCCGCACAATCGTTTTCTATTTACTTTTTAAAACCTTTTTAAACTATTTTTCTGTTCTGCTCGGTCCCTCTGACCTGCCTATGGCAGCTTAGTGAATAGACCCCAAAGTGAAAATATAACTAAAATGTTTTATTCTGGATAGAGTAAGGAATGGTTAGAACCCCTGGCAGTGTTTTTTCTGTTTGTGTTCCTTGGGGGGATTTCCCCTGACTTCCTGTTCCAGGAACATAACAGGAAGTTAAAAAAGGAACCGATGGGAGGGTAAATTGCCCTTAGACAGATGTCACCAGAACAGGTGCCTCAACTGGAGGATTATCCCTCTATTACAGTTCTAAAAACACTGCAATATTTTGGATTTCCCATCACTTTCTGACCCTGTGACAGCAATAAAAACCTGACGGGTTTTATCCATTTTATGTTCTCTATAGAAAACGTAAAACATGTTTGGCTATCAATACTGTGCTTTAAATATCAACTGTGAATGATGACAATTAAATTTAAAGTGTCAACACTTGTTTTTGCTTTTCTTTTGGCTAGAGTAGGGATGGGGAGGAGGGTTAAAACCCCTATAAGCTTTTTGGGCTGTCTCTGTCCTGCTGAGGATATTTCCCTTCACTTTCTGTCCTGGAGATGCAACAGGAAGTAAGATGAAATCTCCCCAAAGTGTGGGGAACTCTTAACTGGTGTTCCCATTGCATGATTTCTCTTGCTGTCATGTAAACTTTAAAATGTTGGACATTGTACACCAGGGAAAGAAAACAAAAGTTTTGTATTTACATACACTTTATGATACCAGGTTATGTATCTTATGCAGAAGCATTTTATCCAGAAGTACCTGAAACCCCCCAAAAATACTAAAATGCATTTTCCACAGTCATTATGGCAATGTATTTCCTCCTATATTCAGTTACTAGTCATAACTCCCTATACCAGGGTAATTAATAACGGTAGCATCATAGTGTCCAGAATTATAGGGTAGGTGAACTGCAGAGTTCTTGGCTACGATAATAACACTAATCATTTTGGTAATTTCTCAAAGCCTATTTTATATATTATGTCTCTAAGCTACAAGAGGAAAAAGAAACACAATCAACAAACATACTAGACCTTTTCAGGATTCCAACCCTAAGAAGAGTCACGCTTGTTATGAGCTTTGTGTGGTAAGTTCTTATCTAATGCATGGGCCTGAGCCAATGCAATTTAAATTATTGCAAATATTAGGGATGCACCGATACCGTTTTTCGGTATTGAGTACAAGTACCGATATTTATATTTTGGTACTCGATACTGGGTACTGATACCGGTGCTTCAGGTAGCATAGAGCCGGCTTCCCGGGCAATCAGGGAGCCAGGTGGCATGTCATTAGCCACCGCCCGGCTTCCCAGCCAATCGGCATCGAGGCCGGCCAAACAGATCTGACAATATGGTGAGACAACCACCACCCTGCAGACACCTCATTCCCCTCACATCACTCCAAGCTCTCCTGGATCTGTCCACGTCTCATCTGTGTACAGCGCCCATGTGAATCGGCCCTCAGCCTGCTATTGCGCATGTGCAGACTGCCCAGTGCTCTCATTCACACATCCTCTAACAGCATCAAGCAGGCAGTGCTGGCGTTGTGCACACAGGAGACGTGAGCAGTTCCGGGAGAGCTTGGAGAGCGGTGTCTGCCCAGCTGGCCAAGGTACTGGTACGTTAATGACTGCTGCTGAGGATCTATGTGAGGGGAATGCTTTGTCTGCAAGGTGGGAGTCGTGTCACCATATTATCAGATTTGTTTGCCCGGCTCATTGCTGATTGGCTGGGAAGTCGGCTTCCTGGCCAATCAGCATTGAGCCAGCTAAACAGCAGGGAGCCAACTTCCCGGCTCCATGTTCCCTCGCGGCATTGGCGGTCAAAGGAAATCTCCCTCTGACCGGAAGTTCCAGCATCGGCAAAGGTATCGGAGCATTTGGGCAAGTACAAGTACTCACCCAAATACTCAGTATCGGCACTGATACTGCTACTAGTATCGGTACCGATGATTCCCTACTAATTATAAATACTTTGTTGATAATGATAAGTTTATAACTTTATTACTTGGTATATGAAGGAGAGATATTCCTTAATCTCTGGACCCAATGGCAGGTAGGGGATAGAAAGCCAAAGGACACAAAAAACGGCATAGGTTCATTATAGCTGGAATTTGGATTTAAAGGAGAACTATGGGGTTAGGGCTTTTCCCCATAGTTCTCCTAAGGGTAATGGGAGGACACAAACTAGCGTCCTCCCGTGACCCAAAGCTCAGTATACAGCTACAGCTCACGGTATACTGAGACGCCACAGCCGGGACAGATCCCGACATTGCTGTCGAGATCCACCCAGCTGCGGGATTGACCGCTGGCTCTGCCTATCCAGAGGCAGAGCCAGCTGTGCCCGCCCCCTCCCCGTCCGTTCCGCCAGTCAGCGCTGGAGGATCGGACAGGTGAGTGACAGTCACGGCTTTCTGCACGGATAGATCGAGAAGTGAGTGAGCGACAGTATGTGTTCGCTCACTTCCCGATCTACTGAGCTGACCTGTGACAGTTTCATTGTCACAGGTCGGCTCAGATTATGAGGCTGAGTGAAAATCACTCGCCTCATAATTCTCCTTTAATGTTCTGCAGAAAAACTCTGTTAAAGGGTCACTTCACACAAAATGAATATTTCAGTTGTGGGTATTCATTAGTTGTAGAATCTTTGGTTTTGGTGACTGAATTATTAACGCCCTTTGTGTTTTCTATAAAGTCAATTGATTTTTATTTTCGTCCTCATGTTTCCTGTCTCCTTTTTTTCTGGTTTTAGGTTTGTGAACAGTCTTGTTTATTACGGTTTGAGTCTAAATGTTGGCAGTTTTGGGCTGGACATATATCTCACCCAGCTCATATTTGGAGCAGTCGAAATTCCAGCTCGCCTTGGAGCCATGTTCATAGTACAGATCTTGGGACGGAAGCTCAGCCAGTCCATGTGTTTATTACTTGGTGGAACAGTTTGTCTTATTTTAACTGCAATACCAAAGAGTAAGTATTTATTATAGTGATTGTTTTTTTAGTTGAATAAATGCAACAATTATACAGTATAAAAGTTTTTTTTTGTATCTGTTTATACCAACAGTATAAACTGCTACTTTGTATTCCAGTCTATACTTTATGTTCTATAACCATGACACGATGAACGTCTCAAGGGAGACAAACATTTTGGCTTCTACTGTAGGAGAGAACTTAGTCAAACTGATTCCTGGGTCTGTCCTTTCATTACAATACACTATACAGAAATGTGTCCAAATAAATGATATACTACATAGCGATTAAGATTTTGTGCATCCTTATTTTAATTGAATTCCCTTTTTATTAAAGCATTTATATAATAATTGTTTTGTCTTCTTTTCTAGCATTACCTGTTGTAATCACAGTGCTTGCTGTGATTGGAAAATTTGCAATTGCAGCTTCATTTTCTATCTGTTACATATATGCTGCGGAACTATTCCCTACAATTATCAGGTGAGCTGTTTAGAGCAACCTTATTTAGTATTAAACCAGAACTTGAAAGCTATGTACACTAAGTCATACTCCTCAGCTGCTAGCTGCCTACTTTCTGTTACCAAGTTAAGAAAGAGGTCAGTTAAGTTCTTTGTAGTCAGGGCATGTGTAACAATATTATGCAATGGATTTAAAATTAGAATGGAGGACTATTTGCATGTGGTCCATAAGAGATCATGTATAAACTACCCACTGTACAGCAGCAGTGATCACAAGTTTACAATCACAGAAAGGAAGGACAAATAATCCATGATAGGTCAGTAACTTTATCCTTCTGAAAAAAATCACAGATGTGGCTGTTTCCTCTTAAAATTATTTGAACATTTTAAATGATAATGTATTAGGTAGCCAATGCCATCTAATATTACCTAGCAGTATACAATATTATATCCCTCAGCAGCACAGTATATCATCCACCGAAAACTACATCCTTTAGTAGCATGACATAACATCGACCTTTCTTCTCCTACATTAGATCACTAGAAAGATATGTGGTAAGCTTCTGCATTTTGACTAAAGTGAGACAAGACAGAGTATTATATTTTGTTAGTGTGACATTTGCAGGCCTGAACTGCTGGTCCTCGGCATACTGAGGTCCAGCAACATAACTGCTTTCACCTTCAGAACACAGCAAAAATGAAACACTTTATTACCCAGAAGAGCTGGCATCTTCTAAAAACTGACATGCTCAGCACGCCATTTAAAGACCAATAACATCTCCTCTGTAGGAACCTTTGAGACAAACCTCAAAGCAGCAGTGGCATTTGTCACTGTATATGGACTTTACAGTGAGTCTGATAAGCAAGTTGAATACAGCTTTTGTAGTGGTTAGTGCAGACTTCGTGCTGTGTCAGTACACATTGGAGAAATAATGGATATTGTTTTAAACCAGCAGCAAGAAAAACCACAACAGAGAAAAGAAAGTCTTGATAGACAAGTATGCTAATCCATTTCTTCTGAGACCCTTTCTAATGGTCCAGCTGTGTTTTGTTGCAGGCAGAATGGAGTGGGTGTCTGCTCTATGACAGCTCGGATAGCTGGGATCATTTCTCCCCTTATTAGTCTTTTGGCCAAATATCACTCTGCTATTCCTATGGCCATTTATGGCTGTGGTCCCATCATTGGAGGCCTCCTCTGCTTCTTCCTTCCTGAAACACGGAACAGAGACCTGCAGGACCATACACATGAGGCAAATGGGTTACCAAGGTAAGGAGGCAATATAACTAGTTTCCGAGTATCCATTAGGTTTCTGTTTAGAAAAACATGGTAAACGCATTTTAATAATCCTTAAAGATAAAAAACATGTAGCTTAATGTAAAACGTAAATGCACAAGAGAATGGGTTAAAACAGTGATTCATCTGTTGACCTCCACATGACTATATGGTAGTTATAAAGGGTATGACATGTTATAAATGGTATATATTAAGAAACCAAATTCCTGTTCAGAACAGTAATATACATCAAGACAACCCTTTCCAGTTTTGGACAACAGTCTAATAGGCAACAGTCTAAATAGCTTTACCTTTAGGACACAATGATACTAGACCTTGGCAACATTATAAAGTGCTTTATCTTTAAGACACACTGGGGTTTGCTTACTAAATGCAAATAGGCTGTTCACTTTGTAAGGGAATTTGACTTTGCAGGGGAATTTTCCCTTAGCTTCGTGAATGTGGTAAAATTTTACTTTGCAAAGAATATCCAATCACAAGCAAAGAAAATAAAAAATAAAAACTTTGCTTACACATGATTGGATGTTGGAAGTCAGCAGAGCTTCATCTTATTTACTAAACTAAGGAGAAAATTCCCCTCCAAAGTGCAAATTTTCTTGCAATGAACAGGCTATTTGCTTTTCAAACTAGTTTGTTTTTTTACTGATACAACTTTGTGCTCCCTTTCTTACAGGTCTCATGACATATCAGAAGAGCAAATAATATACGAAAGTCACCAGGAACAAGAAATACAGAATACAAAACAAGAGTACAAGAAAACCCGTTTATAGTAGTTTTCTTTACCAGCATTTGGAAGGCGTTATTTTTTTTTCATTGTACATTGTACATACAGTATATACTTATCCCTGTGGCTTCTGAAAATAAATTGCCATATGCTGGTTTGGTTACCTTTTCTCAAGAGAAGCCAGTCCCCAATATTATTATATTATTAAAATAATATTGCCCACAGCCCCCTGTCCCTGAGTACATTCTTCTGTACTCCAAATATCTATATATATTAGTGATGTCCAGATACCAGTTCAGATACCAGTTCAGATACCGGTTCAGATACCAATGCCGATACTTGGCATTTTCATGAAAACTACCAGGGTTGCAGCGGTTGCAGCTGGGACCTGGCTCTGGCTCTCCACCACTGTCCTGAAATCATTAGTCTGTATTGTTGTAAAAAAACTATCACATGGCAATAAACAAAAATATATCAGCACTTGTATCTGTGAGTACTTGGACAAGTATCAGAAAACTGGTATTGGTGCATCACTTATATATATTTACAAAAAAAATAATAATGCATTAAAATGGGGATGTACAAATCCCATGAATTCTGTATGCTCCTTAAAAATGACAGCTGCCTCCTAACTTTTGAATTTTTCTCTAGTCCTGGAGCTGGAAAAGTATCTGTACATGTAATTTTAGACAATAGTAGGGGTAAATAGCATGAGAATGTGCTTGGTTTCATGCCACCAAACCAGAGCCACTTGCTCAATATGTAGGTAAAAACAGGTGTTGTAGTACTGAACAATAATTTATTTAGTTCTAAAGAACATATACAAAATTAAAATGATTTTGTGGAAAATCCATTCATCATCAAGTAGCAGTAATATCTGAAAACATTTTAGTTACAAAACACACAAATAATATCAAGAATGGAACTAGTAACATCATCCACACATGAAAGAACTCATTGATTCCAAAGTTGTAACAGTTTAATATAAACAAGGTTCAGAAGAGAGACGTTGATGTCAACTGCACATCTTCACGCATTTCTGCAGTGAAAAGGGTTTTAAACAAGGAAAACCAAAAACAAAATTACTTAACTTTACATCAAACATAAAATAAATATAAATCAAAATCTTGATTCACACTTAATGGATACATAGTACTTAGTTGATGCATTTTGAACACTTCATTCTACTATAATAGTAACTCCCTTTCGATCCCTCTTTTTCAAGTGATACTAAACTCAGGAGTTAACCCTTAAAAATACATTCAAGTACCCTAACTATTAACACGAATGTATCTTATTTGTGTATCACTGAGCTGTAGGTCCTCAAATCATCTCTGAATTGGTGCTGACGCTGTCCTTCCTTCTGGAGGGTGGTTACTTTTATTCCCCATGGCCCCTGTGTGTGTTGTAAAGTATCCACAGCTCCAAGCTCACTCCTGGGATGGACTACAATCTCAATACAAATTGGTAAACTAAACATGAGATTGTAGTCCTTCACGGGAGTGTGCTCAAAGCGTTGGCTACTTTACAACACATACAGGGACCATGGGGAACAAAAGTAGCCACCCTCCAGAAGGAAGGACAGTGTCGGCACCAATTCAGAGATGATTTGAGGATCTACAGCTGAGTGATACACACATAAGATACATTTTTGTTAATAGTTAAAGTACCTGAATACATTTTTTAAGATTTAACTTCTGAGTTTAGTGTCACTTTAATTTCAATACTGAATTAATCACACTTAACTTAAATTTAACTTAAATTAAACACTTAAGTTGTGACACCGTATGAAATTTCTCTGTAAAAAGTCTATCTAACGGTTGTTCAGTCTGATTATTCTTAACGGCATAGTTGTGTCAGACAATTCTCTCCTTCACTCGCTGAGTAGTCTCCCCTATTTAGCAGTCCAAAGGAGTATTTAATCATATTCATATCTGGAATTCAGCTACCAAAGGGTATATTTTTCCTAAAATATGCCAATTACATTCAATACATAAAAAAATTGTATTAGAAAGAAAATGAAAATGCAAACGGTATCCTGCTACATTTATTCTGTCTTGTTCTATCACCAGAGTCTTTCTTAACTAATCTAACTTTTTCAATGTCATGTTTTGGATAACCACGTTCAATTAATTTATCAGCCATTTCATAAAGTCCAGTCTAGTCTCTTAAACTGATTCATCATTAACTATACATGGCACCCTTTGTAGCTGACCTCTGGGGACAGATCTGAACACAGAAGGAGGATAAAAACTGGTAACATTTAGCAGATGGTTCTGAATGATCTGTAGATTTCACATAAAGATTGCTATTGAGTTGATTCCCTTAAATACAAATTCTAGTGTCCAAAAATGGAATAGACTATCAGCAGGGGATAGGATATGAACAGGAGACAGAAGCCCAGAAGAATGTCATTCACTACACAATTCCACTCATAGAGCAAACAGGAATACAACATTATACACAAATAGTGGCAAATGCGTATCCTGAGATCAAGGAATCTTGCAGGAGGAGTAAATCTTTTAGAAATTGGTTAATTACATCAAATCTTTTACCACCTAAAACTGCAGATACTGTACTCCTCTATGTTGGAGAGACCACACAAAAGATCAGGGATTGCATTTCCCATCTAAGGCTGGGCACACACCTTACAACCATCGCAAGACTTTTGTCTTGCGATGGTTGTAAGGTACTTAAAAAAACATACGATCTGCCTATGTTGCATAGGCAGATCGTACTTGCGATGATCGCAAGCCACGCCACCTGAGGGGCGGGCTTCCAATGACCGCAATGCCGAACGGGCAGTGTGCGCTTGCGCACACCGGCCCGTACGGCTGTTATCGTATGGCCATGCCACAAACCCGCCGAACATCGTACGATGCTCGGCGGGTTTTCGAACATGTCCGTAAGTTTAAAGTCGTGCGACCTTACAGTAGTAGAGGTCGCACGGCTTCCACACACCTTACGATCATCGTACGATCGCGGGATTTCCCGCGATTATCGTACGATAATCGTAAGGTGTGTGGGGACCCTTAGGCTTTGCCCAGTGTAGTCCTCACTAACTCAGCGGTCTTTTCAGCGTCTCATGTCTTAGGGTCTCAGTGTAAATTTTAAGTCCTCACACCCCTCTAACTGTCACAGAAAGCAAGTGCTACAAGAGGTGTTGTAGTAGTATGCAAAAAACAAAAGACAACAGTGGTAGTAGCAATAATAATGACCATCGCAATATTTTATATTATGACATCATTGTCAGTACTCACTACAGCTGTCTTGTCAGTTTTTTTCTGGGTATTTTTAAAATCTGAGAAGCACTGCTTTAGGCATACAGGGTTAATTTCAGTGCTGGCCGGAATGACCAGAAGCTCTGAGAGCAATAAATCTGCCCTAGCAAGGCAGATAAACAGATTCTCTTAAATGCACAGCCTGCAAAGCGGATCTGTGACTAGCAATAACCATTCTGACGTCTCCTACACTATATGTTTAATTTAAAGAATAACTCCTTGCATATAAAATCTTAACCCTTGCAGTGGGACTACCCCTGCACCGCAGTGGTTCAGTGCTCATGTTGCCTACGGAGCTAAAATAACAGAGATATACTCACCTGAACTGTGATCTTGGCTGGCTCCTAGACCAGTCCCTTCAGCCTCGCTCCCCCTCCACTTCAGTGATGGAATGTCCCTCATGTTCTATACACTGTATAGGATGTGATGGCTCATGGGATCTTAGATCGCCGGAGTGGAGGGGGAGTGAGGCTAAAGGCACCGGTCTAGGAGCCAGCTGGAATCATGGTTCAGGTGAGTATATCTCTGTCTGTCCATAGAAAAAACAAGCACTTAACCCTTGCATTGCAGGGGGGTCACACTACTGCACAGGTTAAGATTTTATTTGCCCGGAGTTCTTTAACATTTGGACATGTTTATTGTTAAACGAAAAATATGAGGATGATGCATGTTATTATTGCACAGTATACTTTTGTTTTCTAATAAAACATTATTGTTTCTTTGTCATAATAAAGGTTTCATCATTTCAATGTTTTATTTTGTTTGAGGTGTAAATAAATGCTTTTCTTACTTTCTTGTAGGGAAGTGTGTTGTTTGTTCTAAGACACATACTCACCTTTTGCAAAGTTGAAGGTTGGTAGCCATTGTAGCTTGTTATATACATACAGTACTATGTATGTAATAGCACGCGAAACACCTATATGACGCCAGAAAATGTACAATATGCATGTGTTATGAGACTTTGACTTATTACATTTGTCTCATGGATAGGGGTTAAACATTAATTCCTGGTGTCTTTCTGCTCCTGCCTTTCACAACTCTGATCCAGGACACAATGACTGAGTTTGGGGAAATTCTGAAAAATGTTGGGGAATTTGGCCGATTCCAGAAATTTTTGGTATTTCAGATGTGCTTACTTAGTTTCCTCAATGCCTTCTACATGTTTGGACAAGTGTTTATGGGAATATCGGTGCCTCATCACTGCAATACTGACTGGATCTTAGCAAAGGATCCAAACCTCACAGAGAAATATCAGCTGAATTTAACCATCCCTTGTAATACAGAGGGCAGCTATGAGCAATGCCTCATGTACACTCCGGTGGACTGGGATATAGAATCCATTGAAAGGTATGGACTGAACAGCACAGAGGTCTGCCAGGATGGTTGGGTCTATGATATGTCACAGCAGAAGTCAACGCTGGTCACAGAGGTTTGTAAATATTTCTCTCTCAGTTGAAATGGTTTTTGTTAAGTAATCAATAAATAAGCTGATTAAATGTCCATTTTAAATACTGGCATCAATATTGACAGACAGCCGTTGGTGACTTTCCACTGTTGTAGATGGACTACTAACACACAGACTAACTTTACAGAATCAGTCTATAAATTTTAACAAAATCCCACTTAATTTTTCAAATAAACTGGACAAAGAACAGTCTCATTTACTATACTACTACCAGTACTGCTAATACAAGTACTTTTTTAACAGTATGCTTTTAGACTTTTTTTCCTCTCCGCTTTAATTCATGGCCTTATTTGAGAATGGTATAAAACATTCATATGTCACCTTTTACTAAACTAAACTACTTAAAGATTATTTTTGATTTCCTGTTATGAATCACTGTACACCATTGCTGATAATAAATAAGCCTTATTGTGTGCAGCAGCTAGTCACCTTGAATGAAAATACTACAAAGTCTAGATGTTTGTTGCACTCTTTTAATATAACAGAACCATCCATTTACAGTGGCACTAAACTCAGGAGTTAAATCTTAACAATGCAGTCACTTACCCTATTAACAAAAATGTATATTATTTGTGTATCACTCGGCTGTAGATCTACAATTCATCTCTGAATTGGTGCTGACACTGTCCATCCTTCTGGAGGGTGGCTACTTTTGTTCTTCATGGTCCCTGTGTGTGTTGTAAAGTAGCCACTGCTCCAAACTCACTCCCATTGATAGACTATCATTTCCATACAATTTAGTAAACTAAACGTGAGGTTGTAGTCCGTCACAGGAGTGAGCATGGAGTGGTGGCTACTTTACAACACACACAGGGACCATGGGGAACAAAAGTTGCCACCCTCCAGAAGGAAGGACAGTGTCAGCACCAGTTCAGAGATGATTTGAGGATCTACAGCTGAGTGACACACAAATAAGATACATTTTCATTGATAGTTAAGGTACTTGAATGCATTTTTAAGATTTAACTCCTGAGTTTAGTGTCACTTTAATAAATAAGCCTCACTGTGTGATGCGTCTAGCAAACTTGGATGCAAATAAAACAAACTCTGAGGTCTAGAAGTTTCTTGCACTCTGTTAATACAACAGAACCATCCACTTAAAAATTAAACAAGGCATCTTTATAAACTATTTTAGAACTTACTTACCCAAATAATGGGAAGTCTAACCTATGAGAAAATAAGTGCTGTGGACTGACTGCATAAAAAAAGGTCCAACTATTTCTTATATTTATAACAAAAAAAGTTACAGGATATAAAATGTATATAAAAATTCAGTTTGGTAAAGAAGTCCCTGCTATGCCTGTGATAGGTGTTTGAATGTACAGTTCGGGAGTCATCCGATGTACCTTACTGGTCTGATTGATGGCTGAATGACCATATGCAAGATTTGGAGTTAATAATCTCTATTTTACCAATAGGAAGGTGAATGAAATGAAAAGTCATAAATGTTTGTGATATTTCTTGTGGAGCAATTTCATGCAGAGGAATAAGGTTGGCCATACACGAGAGAGGTTCTTTCAAAATAACCTCACTACAAAAAAGCTTAGGGATACTTTGTACAGTTTTCCATTGTTCAATCAGATTGTAGTTCTTAGGTGATCACTGTAGGCAATGTGCATATTTAATGAAAGGATCATTAGATGGTCAGATCATTTGTTAAACCAACATGAAGCCTTTCTGCATTGTTGGACTACAGGTAACATGTATCTGTAAGCAAAACGTTTTAGTTTTGGATAGGCAGTGAAGGGTCAAGTTTTAATTGATGCCTGTGTCTTCACTGGGAGGATTCACAAATCAATTTGTACTGATGACCACTGTCATCAAAAAAGTGAGAGGAAATCCAAAATGTTAGAGTTGTCCCCAGAACAAGGGTTAAGGAGAAATCTTCCACTAGGGATATCTGTTCCAGGGACAACTGTCTAAGGCCTCATTCACACAAGAAAAGGCCGGCACGTACAGATCTGTGCTGCGTGTACGGCCGCATCGGGCAGCTCCCAGGAAGGACAGGTGCTGCGTGTGATTAGTACGCAGCCCCTGTCCTTCTCTATGGGAGTACGCCGCCCTATGCTCATGCGCCCTGCACGTCGGGCGCAGGTGTCCGTACTCGTACACTGATAGGATGGATCCTGTCTGCATCCGAGCCGTGACACCTGCACCCGTATGGACCTGCACTTGGGGTGAGCGTAGGCCGGCGTATGGCGTACTAATCAGAGCAGAATTTCCCTAATTTTTGTATCTTTTCTCTAACTTGTCGTGTCCCTGGGACAGGGAGTAAAAGGTAATTTCCACAAAGATACACAGACAAACTGACAAGAGTTTTACCCTTCCCTACTCGATCTAAAACTATAAACACAAGTTTGGCTATACATTCACTTTAATGTATATGTGTGCTGTAAGGACAAATGTTGAAACCAATTCAATTAACTTTTGCATTTCATTCAATGTAAGTTTGACCTGGTGTGTCACAGAAAAGAACAGAAGGATATCTCCCAGTCCATTCACATGTTGGGGCTGCTTATTGGATCTATTATTTTTGGTCATTTAGGAGACAGGTAAGAGTATTTATTATTTCTATTTATTCACTGCCAAATATTCAAATAAAGTTTCTTTAAATGAGTGTTTATTAATCTTGTTTTCAGGCTGCATAAAACAATCTAATGTTCCTACTCCAGTTATACAGTAAAGACACACACATGCACACCAGGGCCAGTTTTGGGTACAAATGAATTAGCCTACTAGTAGATTTTCTTGTTATCTGTAGATGAAAAATAGAGCAACTATAGAAAACCAAACTTGAAAGAACTTGCACACTGTTCCCTAATATGAATTGTGCCCGGGATCTCTTCCTATAAGCCTACAGTTACATTATTAGAGTTATTGGGCCAGATAAAGTTCCTGTTAAGGATTAGCCATTTTGACATTCGTCTAGTGAAAATGTAAGCTAGCATTATTAGTTGCTATGGCCAACACTTCCAATTTTGCATCCGTTCCATTTTCCTGCAAGAGAGATATTAGACTCAATTCACAAAACTTGAACCCAAGGATAAAGATGCCTATTTCATGCAGCAGTCATTTTCAAATCTCATTGGATTCGCTTTAAAAAAAAAAAAAAGGATCCATATCCTGGTGTGTAAGCTTTGTGAAATTACCCTCTTGTGTCCCTATAGAACCAGCCCAGCCAAAATACATATTTATTAAGGCCCCATTCATACCAGATGTGTTGGCATCCATTTTTCAAATGATGCCAATGCATGAACTTCTGGAAATGAAAGGTTTGTGAATGAGAGTAGTTCACACTAGTGCATTGTGTTGCGCTGCCGTCCGCTGAAAAAAAAAGTAGAGCAGGTTCTAAATGTTTTCAGTGTAACACCATGCAATGGACTGGTGTGAACTGCTAATGCGTGTCAACGCAAGGCAGAACCTTACCTTATATAGCTTAGTGTAAAAACCAAACCAAAAAAACGCAACCTAAAGCAACAGATGTCAACGCACTATGCAAACTCAACGTACCTCCATTGACTTGCATTTTTGTCTCCTATTCCGGTGTGAATAGACCCTAAAAAAAGACACCTGGCAATTTTAAATCCGTGATTTTTATGAATGTGTTTTTTAGTATTAGGAATATGGTAATATACAGTGTTACATAAACATGTGTATACAATAACTGCACTTTTTTTTGTCTATTCTCTTGAAGGATTGGTAGACGTCCTGTTATGTTAATCTCAATGTTATTGATGTTTGCCTTTGGTGTCGGAGCAGCATTTGTTCCACATTTTTATGTCTATATGGTTCTGCGTTGTGTTGTAGGAATTGGAATGGCTGGCGTTATGCTAAACAATCTCACATTAGGTAATGTACATACTGTGTATACAGTATATACACATATTTTGGCTTTCTGGAAATGTAATGTTGTGTAAATACTTTATTTGATTGATAGATGTGCTAAACAGATTACAATCCAAATGTGTATGGAAATAATTATTTGTTTGTCAGGTCAACAATCATAGTCCACTAATAGTCCTCTTGAGGTTAGCTTAACCCCATATTGAATTCTCAGCATTGTAGGCAATTAAAGCTTTAATTTTAATTGTGCAATGTCTCAGGTAACAGGACATTACCATAATGATGATTTTGAACAAAAACATTTTAATTTGCATTTGAACAAATAACCAAATATACTTATTCTTACTGTACCGGAATCGATCTGCTCTGCTAACAATATTCCCCAGTTTCAACAAAATAGAAAAATATTTCCGAGGGAAAATGACATGTGATTCTTTCCTGCAGTTACCTCATCTTCCATCAGCAAACTCCTATTCTGAAAGAATTAAGTGGTCCATTGCTAAAGGTTGTTTGTAATATCTCCTATACAAAAAACCCCAGTTTGGAATAATAAAATTATATGTTTGATGGGTGGAAATCCCTTCCAGGTAGTTATGTAGGCCTTTGCCAGTATACCCTTTCTCAAACTTAGCATGGCACAGTTAGTTTCTGCTATAATCACATGTTTGCCACCTGAAGGAGGTAGGGGGTGTTGGTGCTGTTTTGGGGTACGCAATCTGGGGGGCGGAATAGGAGTTGGTGGGGTGGGGTGCTGGTGGAGAGTGATGCCACCAAGAGTTAAGAGCTGGACGGGGAGATGTGTAAGGGATCTGTATCTCCCCACCCAGCTCTTAGCAACCAGGCAGGATCTCCGGGGATCCTGCCAGTAGCTGTCCTTCCTGTTGCAGGCTCTGGGGATCCTGCCATCTCCGGGGATCCTGCCAGTAGCTGTCCTTCCTGTTGCAGGCTCTGGGGATCCTGCCATCTCCGGGGATCCTGCCAGTAGCTGTCCTTCCTGTTGCAGGCTCTGGGGATCCTGCCATCTCCGGGGATCCTGCCAGTAGCTGTCCTTCCTGTTGCAGGCTGACAGAGTTAGGACTGCCTTGTACTTGCAGCAGCGTTGTCATTCTGCCGCACACACTCCTTCAGCTGTGCATGCCGCCTACAGACATGACAGGCACCTCAGCAGCCAAATCTAAGGACTAATTTACACAGACACACCGCTTGCTGGGTACTGATCGTTAAGAGACATGGTGAGGATGCTACGGCTCCGTGAGTTTTCATATAAGCGCTTTTAACTGCTTATCACAGCCACTACATCACGGTGAGTGCACACTCTGAGGGGATACGTACGGCATTTGCCCATCTCCCCAGCAACTTTCACGGGATTGTCACATCAACTCACAAACTTTGTGCACCAGGAACACTGTATCGTTATTCATGGTGTTTCTACACCAACACTAAATATTCAAGGGACCCTGTGGGACTCTATGTCCAGGGTAATTGTGATTCTATATCGTAAAGAGCACTTAGCACAGTCACTCAATTTTTCTAATTTTTGTCTTAATATTTATGTTATACATGAATGTATATTTGGTTTAATAATTTCATGTTACACTGATCCATACACACCGATTGTTGATTGATATATGTTATGTCACTGATCACGGTGTATTGTTAAGTCAAGGTAAACACGTTCAGTTAATATTTAGCTAGTTTTATTCTTTAGTTGGCGCTGCATAGTTGGAAACACGCATGATTTGACCTAGGTGTCTTTATTGCTGCAGCCTTCATTAAATATAGATTATTCACCAAATCACCTTTATCAGGGCACAGAACCTTTTTTCACATATCCAGCGCAGGATTAATAAACACACATTTTCAAGTGTTTTTTTTTTTTTAGCAACTCCCAAATCTGAGGCCAAATTGCACAATTCTGCCCCTTATTTGAGCTTCATGCAAGTGGCAACAAGTGGTCAATGAAAAAACAATGAGATTTCTCATGTTGAGTGTTGTCGTGATTAGAGAAAGGAATTAGAAAACACATGAGACCTTAAGGGCTTGTTCACACCAAGTGAGGAGCAGGTGCAGAGCAGAGCAGTTACAGACCGGATCAAAACTGCATCCAATGTATTTTAATGGTATTTTTTAAGCTCCAGTTCACATTGCAGCATTCCGTTCCAGAGCAGGTCCAGAGCAGGTAAAAAAACTGCAGCTACTATATCGCCCCAAACTCAGTGGAGGTCTTGCAGTCCCTAATCTTCGAGCATACTATACGGCAGCCACCATTGCTCCCTTAGCTCTATTACATTCAGTGACCGAACTCCCACTATGGGCGTGTCTCGACTTGGTGGACTGTCACACCCAGCCCCTCACGTCCCTGCTGTGGCTCTCCCAAACTGACCAGCCCACAAATCTCAGCCCGATTAGACACTCCCTGAAGATTTGGGACGAAGTTCGGTACTCCGGCAACTTGATGTCACCTCACCTCCCTCTACTGGCTCAACTCTCCATTATTCCCACCTGGCGCCACCGATCCTCACTCGTTCGCATGGTGGTCCCGTAACGACCTGACCACTGTACACTCCCTCATCTCGCTCTCCGGTGTGAAGTCGTTCCAGCAACTCCGCACCAATAGATCCATTCCACTCCGGGAATGGTTCCGCTATACCCAAATAAGCCATTTAATTAATTCGCTCCTGAAAAACACCTCAGCTCCCTCGAGAATGACCCTATTCGAACATTGCTGTAACTCAGACCCACACGCCTCAGGTGTCATCTCTCTGATCTACTCCTCTCTACTATCCTCCACCTCTACCACCCTTGCTCCCTATCAGCGTCAGTGGCATGAGGAATTGGGCAGAACCCTATCACTTGAGGACTGGCAGCATACCTGGTCAGCAATAGCGCATGGCTCCCGCAACGTACTCGCACTCGAGAATTCCTACAAAGTGATGTACCGTTGGTATTACACGCCGGCCCGTCTGGCGAAATATATCCCCTCCTACTCCCCACACTGCTTCCGGGGCTGTGGCGCATCGGGTACCATGACCCACATTTGGTGGACATGCCACCGGGCGGCACACCTCTGGAATCGTGTCTACGAGTTACTCAATTCCCTCTTCCAACTCACCTTGGCGAAGGATCCGTGCGAGGCATTGTTACTCCAACCAATTCCACAGCTGACGCGTTACCAGAAGCACCTTGTGTCCCACATTTTTGTCGCCACCAAAATTGCATGCCCCACTTCTGTTCTCTTTGTAATCTTTTATATGAAAAACTGACAAAAACCAAATAAAATCTTTGTGAAAGAGAAAAAAAAAAAAAAAACTGCAGCAAGCCCTATTTTACCTGCTCTGGAATGCATCAAAAACGCATGGCAGAATTGCAAAAAGCTAACCATAAAGAAAAAAAACTCTATGGTCATCTGTGATGACCTAATCTTCCTTGGTCACTTCCTGTCTGTGGAAAAAACAATAAAAAATAAACAATAAAATAACAATAAAAACATAACAAGCAAACATTACTACCTAGATATCGACATGCGGGTGTATGAAAAAAAATTGTCGGGGTGTGCACGAAGGTCTGCATATAAAGTCCCAAACTGGCCCTTTGGATCTCTTTCACTCATCAGTGGGTGCACCCAAAAACGACGTCTCCTTACAGCACTTTGGCGTAGCAGTATAATAACCATCACCAGGAGCATGCCTGCATCCCATGGATCCATGTTGCAACAATTTTACATGTGAGACAAGGTCAGAGGAAGCAGGAAATAATCAGAACAGCTAATGAAAGGTCATAGGTAAAAGGAAATTACCTCATAACATTGTTAGCTTCCTGAAAAAAAAAAAAACGATCTGGAATGCATAAAAAATGCGTCTAAAGACTAGCGTGCGTGTGCAGAAACGTGAGCAGATCTGCTCTGCATTTGGTGTGAACAAGGCCTAATGAGTCAGCATGTTTGTTCTCGATTTCTATGGCAGTTCTGAACTTCTGACATTGTCATAGAAAAAGTCATGAATACTGCTTATTACATTCTATTGGCTGTACTTTTTTCCTTCTGTTTATGGGTACATTATATGGAACATATAAATAGCTTATTATTAACCTGCCTATATCTTGCTTTTCAGATACAGCAGAAACTTTACTGTATTACTGCTTTCTGAGCAGCATTTATTGACACCGCTCTTAGCACTGGATGTACTCTGCACTGTATTATATTCTGAGAGAGAACATTAACCATTCCTATGAGTGAGATGCTCTTACTGAGATTATTTCAAATGTTGTCACATGTTTGCTTTGTGTACTTAGTTTCCCTATTTTATCAATTTCGTATTGGTTTCATGTATAGAAGTTCTGCCCGGTGTATTAAACGCTGTGCCAGTGACAAGTCATGTCTGCGTCCACTAATAAGATTTGTGCCCAGACAGCCCCAGGCAGTGCAGACAAAAACCTTCTCTATATATTCTCATTGCTCACAATTACTTCCTTTGTTTCAGTTGCAGAGTGGGTTGGAGCATCACAGCGTGCATTTGCCACTATCATTGCACATGTTTGCTTTGCAGTAGGACTAATAGTTTTGGCTGGGGTAGCTTATGCCATTCGAAACTGGAGGTTGTTAGAGATTGCATGCTCTGCACCCACAGCCCTGCTCTTCTGGTTCTTCTGGTAGGTATATTCATTGTACAATTCTCCCCACCATTGTAGAGGGTCTGTAAAGACATCCTAGAAGAAGATACAATTCTAGGCCTTGCATAACACAGCAATATGTGTCTTTTTTTCTTGTAGTTGTATACATAGGCCTGTACTTCAATGTGATATAAAGTTCAGAATGTCATATATATATATATATATACAGGGCTTGAAAAATTTGGCGGTGTCTCACCAGTCAGTCAAAAATTTCACCAGTCAGCATGACCGGACTATAGCCTTGCAATATATGTTAAAACATTTTGGGGACAGATAGAGCTTTCCTTTGTGACCCCACGGGGGGGTTATTTTTTTTTACAATATAATGAAAAAAGTACCATAAATATATTAAAAAAAAAGTTTAATATTTATTCTTACCCATATTTTTAATAAAACATAAAAGTCGGGGTCACGTCAGGTAAATAGACACCAAACATGTCAAGCCTTAAAACTGCGTGCGCAAAAAACGCCCATACGCGACGATTAAAATGCTTTTACTGCTCATCAGTTTAGTGTTATCAGTGATTAATGGCTCTAGAATTATTGTTCTCTCTCTGACATTTGCGGCGATATGGAACATGTGCGGCACAATAGGCGCAATCATCGTTTTCGCACGTAAGCACACCCGACGCATATCTACGTGTGTATGTGGGGGGCGGGGACTTAAAAAAATGTTTTCTTTTTTAATTTTTTTTTTGCTTCTTTATTTTTATATTACTTTTTTTTTAACACACAACTTTATTGCTATTACATGGGGGGCTAAGAAGCCCCCTATGGGATAGCTAATTTACATGACAGTTTTTTTTTATATATATATATATAATTCATTCATTTTATAGACAGCGTTTAAGACTGAACCAGAGGAGCTTATATTCTAATATTCCTACTACTGTCATTCAGATACATACACTAGAGACACATGAAGGACATGCACACACAAAGTTAGAAACCAGTTAAAATACCTATAATTTTAGAACCATTAAAGGAAATTAAAGCCAAACTCCCGCCAACATTGTAAAAAATTTTGCATAGAGTGGGGGAGTGTTAAACTTTTTGCCAGATTCAGGCCTCAAAGGAGCTGATACTCTAATGTTCTTACTACTGTCATTCACTAGGCACACACAAAGTTAGAAACCAGTTAAAATATCACAATGGTTTTGGAACCATTAACAGGAATAAGAGCCAAAATTCAGTCAATTTAAAAAAAATATTTTGGGGTCTATTCACGAAGCTGCCGAAGGATCTAGCCGTAGCTTCGGCCGATCCTTCGGCTAGCTTCAGCCCCAGGACTCCTTCGGTCCAGTATAGATTAGCGTCCCTGGTTACCTGCTAACCAGGGACACTGATCTCCAAACAGCTAACTCTCCCTGGCGCCCCGGGAGTCTTCTGCTCCCGGCCGCCAAGGAGAGAAACACTGCTGTGTCTTTTTTTCTTTATTCTGACACAGAGCGATGTCAGAATAGAAAAAAAAATGTTTTCCCATTGAAATGCATTGGTACATCACTATTGGCTATTTCAGTTTGCAATAGCCAATAGTAAACTAGCATTGTACCCGCCCAGTTCTCCATCAGGTCCATCAGCAGAGGGCGGGTACAATGCTAGTTCACTATTGGCTATTTCAATTTGCAATAGCCAATGTACCAATGCATTTCAATGGGAATTTATTTTTTATTCTGCCATCGATCGTGTCAGAATAAAAAAAAAAAGACACAGCGGGGTTTCTCTCCTGGGCGGCCGGGAGCTGGAGGCTCCCAGAGTGCCTGGGAGATTTTTTTTTCTCTCTTTTTTTTTTGACGGCAGCAGAGCCGCCGGACAATAGGAAACTATTGGGCGGAGCTAGCTGTCACTGCTAGCTCCGCACAATCGTTTTCTATTTACTTTTTAAAAAACTTTTAAAACTCTTTTTCTGAGGGACCGAGCAGAACAGCCGAGCCAAATGCCGCTCAGCGGCATTCGGCTATTCACTCACTGCTGTTCGGCATCTATAAGAATAGGCCGAACAGCAGTGAGTAGCCTGCCGGAGGTTCGGCTCAGCCGATCCATATGTTGGATCGGCTGAGTCGAACTCCTTCTGCACTTCGGGTCGGCCGAACATGCTAAGCATGTTCGGCTCACCCGAAGCCATGTGAAGCAAGCCGATGTACGGCTGATTTCAGCCGTACGAGCCTGAAGTGAATAGCTGAACAGTGTTCAGCTCACTTCAATTTAGGTCGGTCATTCACTCGGCTGCCTACGGCAGCTTAGTGAATAAACCCATTTGTGTACAGTGGGGGTGGGGGGGGACCCCATAGGGAGGTTCTCCCTCACTTTCTGTCCCTTTGACACTTGCACAAGAAATGGGGGTGCAGGTGTTACCAAGACAAGAAGTAATGGACAGCACTATCACAGACAGCAGTAAGGATTTGACCGAGGCTGTAACCCTTCTGCCCTGTCCAAAATTATTTTAACTGAAGATTGGCTTAAAGCACCTGAAGTAAACAGATACAGTATATAGAATATTCAAACTACACAGACAATGCTCTCATAGAATCCTACGTACATTATGTGTAAATATTTTATTTCTGCAGCACTACCATTTTTTAATACACATAACAGAGATATTTCTTTAACAGGCTTCTTCCAGAATCTCCCCGGTGGCTTCTGACTAAAGGGAAATTAAAAAAGGCCCAAAAACTCCTCCAGAAGGCAGCAGTTATGAATAAAGTGGAACTATCTGAGACATTTTTGATAAAGGTAAGTTTCGTCCTGGTCACATTGTTTATTGTAGTGTATCCTTGCTGTGATCCTGCTTTTAATGCCAGTTTTAGTTACCCTGAAGGGGTAACTGGTATTAACTGTCATTTGACACTGATCACCTGAGTATAGCTAAAACATATTTTGAAAATATTTGTCGTCTTCTGGCCCTTATGTTGGCCATTGAAGGCTCCACGGGAAAATGTCATTGCTTCTTGGTTCCATCCGAGCAAACAATTGGAATTTGGGTGGAAATCAATTTAAAATACTTTTGAGACTACCATTACACCAGTTTTAATTGATTTCCATTATACAGGTGAAACTCGAATAATTAGAATATCGTGCAAAAGTAATTGCAGTAAGTGCTGCAAAAGGGGCCCAAACCAAGTACTGAGTACATATGCATGCTTGTACTTTTCAGAGGTCCGATATTGTTCTATGTACAATCCTTATTTTATTGATTGCATGTAATAATCTACTTTTTTGAGGTTGTGGATTTGGGGTTCTTGGGGTTTTCATGAGCTGTAAGCCATAATCATCACCATTATGACAAATCACGGCTTGAACTATCTTGCTTTGCATGTAATGAGTCTATCTCATATATTAGTTTCACCTTTTAAGTTGCATTAGTGAAATAAATGAACTTTGCACGATATTCTAATTATTCGAGTTTCACCTGTAATTGCAATTGTTCTATTAGTTTGGGCCAGGAAACAATTGAAACTGTGGGTGGCAGATTGCTGTGAACATTTAAAGTGGAACTGAAGTCCGGAATACTTACCTACCGGTACCTTCCAGTGGTGTAATCTCCCTTTGTGTGCTACGGCCTTCTCCTAGTCTTCTTTCAGGTTCAAAGTCTTTGGCTGTCCTAATTGGCTGAGTGCATGTGCATGGGAGTGACTTTATCCTGGCACAAAATCATGCTGAGAACGTACACTGAGTTGCGCATTATCCTAGCCATTGCAAAGCTGGTGTGCGGGGCGATGTGGCATTTAAGTCGGCCATAATGTGCAATACTGCTGTGCATACTTAACAATATTGCAAGTTCCACTTTAAGTTCTATTGACTCATTTTAATTTTGTTCAGTGGTCATGTACAATGTATGGCCAATATACTTTAACTGTAGAATAGCAAAGAGGGACTGTTTTACTGTTACATTACATACACATTACAAGCTAATGTGGAACTAAACTCAATAGCATTAGCACAGCAATTTTGGGTTTTCTGAGCACACCCTGTAACATAATTTTATTATCTTTCAATTCTGTAAGTAGATCTATTTATATTCCTCCTAAGCCCTGCATTGTCTACCTAAAGGAAGAGTGATAATCATCAGCTGTACACACTTCAGAAAAAAAGATTAAGGAATTGGCCATTAATGAGAATTTGAATGTTCATTTTAATATTACAGCCTTCCTTCTTGGGGTTATATTTGTGCTGTTATTCACTTGTATTCTCTCCCTGTCAGAGTGGACCAGTTATACAGTTTAACGCCCTGTTGTGGGCTGATTAAACTCGAATCTAAGGTCAGGGTTAATATCTGACACTGTCTGGGCTAATAAAAGAGGGTAGAACTGTCAATTAACACAGTTTTTAGTTTTCTTTCATGTAATCCTGACAGCACCTTTTCTTTATTTTTTTATTTTTTTATTGTGAGTGTCTGTTATCAGCACTGAATTTAGACAGGAGATAGAGTGACCTTTCTGTCTGACATTAAGCTTGAAAGTTCTACTTTGACAGGGACAGATGTCAAAGTAGAATATTAAAAAAGAGAGATAATGCTGCACGATCCTTCACTATTTTAACGTTGACTTTCCATAAAAATGGAATGGGCCGGTCCCCCCCACAAAAAAGTATTAGTTCCCTAACAAGGGATTTGACAAAAGAGGGAAAAATACCCTGGTCCAACTTCTGATACTTCTGTTAGACGCATGTGATGCTTCTGTACCTCAATATTGCTTTCTGGGTGTTTGAAATCCTGCAAGAATGTGCTCCTGCTACAGGCTAGAGGCCATTCTACTGGGATTTTAAGCACCCATATTTCCGAGAAAGCGGCATTGAGGCAAACTGATGTCATCCGCACCTCCTAGAACGGTTGAAAGCCGGGGCTGAGGTAAGTTTTTCAGTATTTTTTTCTCGTTTTGTCAAAACTTAATTTTTTAAGATTTTAGGCTAATTCTGTTTGAGAGTGGGTGAAGGTAAAGCAGACCTTCTATTTCTCATTAAAGCCTGGTTCACACCTAGGAGTTTTTGAGCAGTTGGAAAAGCGCTTTTAAATGCCCAACACAAGAAATCCCATGATTTTCAATGGCCCTGAGCAGAAAAACACCAGCAGGAAAATGCCAAACGCCCGAAAAGGTACATGAGCTTCTTTGGGCAGTTAAAAACGCTTTTGTGCGCCATAGACTTCATTGGAAATGCCCAACAATGTGCGGCAGAAGCATGTTGCAAGCTTCCGTGAGCATTTTTGCTAGTTTAAACGCACGTTATGCCATTGCCCGTAATGTTTTATGAGCTGCCAGACAAAACGCGCGTCTTCATGTACGCGCGTTAATACACGCATTAATAATGTGCACAGCAGTATGGACTGGTAAGTAAAAAACTTTGGGGTGATGCTGAAAGGGGGTAACATAAAGGCTAATTATAAGACAGTAGTTATTCTTTAAGGGAATGAAGAGTTGGAAGAAGAACACTTGTCACATAAGATACTAAGAAAAATTTAGTGAACTAGGACACTTTGCTGGGGAAGTGATAAAACAGTAGATTCCCAAAACAGTTCTTTTTCTCTTCTTATTTAAAGTTACAAGAAGAAAAGCAGAGTAAATCTGGAAGCATGATAGATCTTTTTAGGATCCCAAATCTGAGAAAAGTAACTCTGATTATGTGTTTGATATGGTAAGTCTTGGAGGTGACAATAGGTAACAAATAAATTAAAGTTGGATTGCATGTGCTTTCATTAGATATTAATATGTATTGCAGAAATATTTAAATCATTGAGGTTTAAATAAAAGCCTGATTTTCCTTGATACTGTACAGGAATAGGCTATCAATATTAGATGTTTTTTTTTTTTAAAGAAAAAGATGCAATATTTTAGGGCAAAATACTCTGGAAGTGGAACTGATATTATGGTGAGATATCTCTTTAAGGGAAACATTTTTCCTGGAAAAATATGAAGGCTGCCACTGCTGACCTCTCCTTTTGAAAATGCTACTTGCAATTGCCAAGATCCAAAGGATTTATTATCTTTGACGATACTAGTATGCAGAGGAGTCCAAATTTTATTCTGAATCCACATACTTTTTCTGGGCCTGTGATTCATAAAATATTGAAGCCAGGCAACAAGAGATGAGCAATGACAGCCTTGACTTTTCTCTCAGTAGAGGCTTTCTTTAAGATGGGACTGCCTGTCATTTATGAGAATTAAAAGTAGTTTTGGTAGTTTGATTCTGATCTGTATTATTATGCAGCTCTAATCAAAAAGAAAGGTGGATTATTTCATTTTGCAACCTGGAAATTTGCTGGTCTATTAAAAGAGCAGTGGCATGGTTGTACTACACTCCTTACATTTATAAAGCACAGCAGTGTGCCTTACAAAGGTCCATTGCACTTTTGGGGGTCCAAAGCTGGTAGAATGAGATACTAAAGAATGGGCAGCTGTTAAAAAAAAAAGAAAAAGATAAAAGCCAGGACAAGCCCGGTCACCTCACGCATCAAAGTCATGACTTTAATCACGGAATGAACTCTGTAGGATACAAAATGCTGCATTCCGCGGTGTGCATTTTATGAATGGGCAGGTCATAGTATGCAGTAGTCATGTGTAGTATAACGGAGAGCTAAGAGTGATATCTGCTCTATGTTGCAAAATGAGCCCTGGATATAGGCAAGTGCATTGCCATTGGACAATTGCAGCTCTCTCTACAACTCACTGCAGTGGAATAGTGCATGTTCAGTTACAAACAGCAGATTAGTACAACTTTTATAAGTATCTAATTTTTTGTAAATGGCTGATGGCAACAAACCTTTGGGATCTTTGATGTACCACCACCTTCCTGATAAATATTGCACTGTAAATCAGGACAGTGAAATAAAAATCCTTTAAAACATTATTAACTGGTTGTATCAATACATTTTTCTTCCACCCAAACCCTACATTTATTTGCTAAAAATGCTGTTGCTATAGGAAACTATAGGTACAGCTCTAATTTTCAAGGCCCAGGTAGGATGTCGGGGAAAATCTCCCCAGTGAAGCCACATAAAGGGAAACAAAATAACTCTTCACCCATCTCATCCCAAAAACAATCAGAAGTATAGAGTAGGTGAGATACACATTTTCATCTTTGATACAGTAAAGTAATGTCATCTGTTTGCACTTGTGGCACTGTTATCAGTCAGATTGTGAGATGAGGGATGACAGATGTGAAGGCAAGTATTACTTGGTGATAAACTGATGAGAGGGTCAGAAGACCTGCATTTCTTGATTACAGCCCAACACCAGCCAAATTATTTTAAAATTATTTTGTTATCATAGCATATGAAAGGGATAGATTTTTACTGCTGTATGTGAACTCTTGTGGGAGATTTCCACTCACTGCCCTTGTGACACCATACCAACAAATAACTAGAGTGAGTGCCACTGGAACAGTATGACACAATCTTAACATTCTAGTTCTTTCAGAGTCTCCTATAAAAGTGTTATCTTTGTCCCCATTAGAGGCACATCCCACTGCATTCCTATCCCTCTGTCACCAGGACAGGAAGTAAGGTCAAATGTTACCATGATGGACACAGTAATAAAACCATAGCAAAGTATCTAACCTTTCCCCACTCATATTTATAAACAAAAAGCTTAAATTGGCATTTAGAGACTAAGCACTGGAATTAAAAAACTACAATGGTTTTCCTTTTTTAACATGACAGACAGATTTTTAAAATTTTGAGAGGGAGCAAAAGACAATGGTGTCCAACTTATTTTTAAATAAAAGTTGTTCTCTTTGTTTCTGTTCATTATGTTCTACTTTCTTTGTGCACAGACAGATGGCATATATAATATAAATGCATGCATGTAATAAACCTATGTTTGTGGGAAAGGTCCCACCATGTATTTCCAAATCTGCTTTCAGGTTTGTGAACAGTCTGGTCTATTATGGTCTAAGTCTCAGTGTTGGGAGTTTTGGGGTCGACATTTATCTCACCCAGCTCATATTTGGAGCAGTAGAAATTCCAGCTCGAATAGGATCCATATTCATGGTGCAGTATATTGGAAGGAAACCAAGCCAGTCGACCTGTCTCTTGCTTGGAGGAGTTGTCTGTCTTATTGTTACAGCAATACCAAAAGGTAAGACCAGCAATGGTGTGGAGCATGCAGTTAGATTGAATAAGTACAGACTATTTCAAGCCATGTCTTTACAGAAATACCAGGAAAAACTATTTCACCACCAGTACTATTACCACTAATTATTTTTTGGTGGAGGTTGATTGGATTTACCAATGTAATATTTAATTAATATTGACTTCCAGCACCCTTATGTCACCATCTAACATCCTTTCTGCATGCAATGTTGTATCCAGGACTTGTCATAAAGCACACACTGACAGCCGGTGTTCCTCAGCAGAGGAACTGTTGTAAAGGAACAATTGACGAATAACAGCCTATACCAAAAAGTTTTATTTTTTTTTGTCTGTAAATTATGCCTAAACAATATAGATAGTGTAGATGTCTCTATGGAAAACTCCCCTCAGAAGATCAGAAATATGTTGATATTGTTTTAGTTTGCACAATAATTCTTAATATGTCACATATTCTTTTCCCTTTTAGATTTTTCCATTGTAATAACAGTGCTTGCTGTAATTGGAAAATTTGCAGCAGCATCTTCCTATTCAATTTGTTATATTTATGCTGCTGAGGTATTCCCCACTGTTATTCGGTGAGCTAAAGGCCAATTCTTCCATGTCTGTGACTGTGTTTGAATGTATACATGTTGGGCAGTTTTGATGCAGCTGAGGTACATGGGGGTTTACTGCTGTATGTACACTGTATAATGACTCTCCTGGTTAGATTCTTCCTTACCCTTGGCATGGCTGCAGCACACCAGGAAAAAACCTTTTAGCTTACCTGCTACTGTCACCAGTCTAAGGTATTTCTCCATGTATTCTTATGAAGAATCCAGAAAATGGGCAGAAGAGAAAGCTAGTAGCTGTGAGAGGAGGGTCAAGGACAGTATGGATGGGGGAGAAGGGGTGGATGAATGATGAAGGTTATTCAGACAGGAAATGAAAGTGGGCTCAAGATAGCTTCTGCAGTTTCAAATGGTTCTATTGTGGATGTGCAATTTTACAGGAAATTGAGAATATTCAGTTTCAACACCGGAGAAACCGGCTACAAGTATGGGAAAAAAATGTAAGGTTGGAGTGCAGCTTTAATAGATTTCTTGGATTAGGGTGTCCTGAACCTTACCAATGGTGAAGCTGTTTTTTTTGCAGACAAAATGGAGTGGGCCTCTGCTCCATGACATCCCGTGTAGCTGGAATAATTGCTCCACTCATAAATCTCTTGGACCAATATCATCCTGCTATTCCAATGGCTGTTTATGGCAGTGGCCCCATCATTGGAGGCCTTTTTTGTTTCCTCCTACCAGAGACAAGAAACAGAGACCTGCAGGACCATACACATGAAGCCAATGGGGTACCAAGGTACAAATACATTACTAAAATGAAATGTATGTTTTTAAATAAAATCATCAGTGTCTCCTAGTGATTTAAAACACTTATTTCTGTGTATAGTTACTAGGACTGCACTTTGTTTGAGGGCCCATTTACACATGTGCATAGAGGTGCATTTTTCAGCAGTAGAAAAATGCTTTTTGCATAGACACATATACAACAGTTGTTTTCTATGTGCCCTGTTCAGACTGCGACACAGTTACAAATTTTCCACAGCGCACTATATGGCAACACTGGTCACCACAGTGCAGTACACCTGAATTGAGTGTGCAGTTCGTATACTCCAAATAAAGTTAAAAGAAAACCAATTCAAGGCAACGCGGCTTACCAATGTCACTTCAAAGGACACTAGCCTCATGGTAAAACACCAGTTTATAGTACATACATCCAATATACAGCAAATGGGCCCAACAGGATCCCTGATGGCATTGCACACATACAGTATATCTGGCTATATGCAATTATTTAGCAAACATACTTTCAGATGAAAGTAGAGGCCCTGAGGGGAAAGATTGCAGGTGCCATGTCTGTTTGAATGAGCTGAATACTAGGTAAATGGTGATGAGGAAATCCTCCAGCTGGCACTCGACCAACCCGAGAAGCAGTGTCTTACTGGCAGTGGTGTGTCACTGGAGCACACTGTCAGCCTATCTACTTTAGTTCTCAGTCCCTAACAGTTTTCAAATCTGACATGCAACCAGTCATCTAGCAGTATCTCAGGTTGGGGGCGGCAATGTGTGCAGTGTGCCTGCTGCCCCTTTCTATCCACTGCATCACATGTTTCTAAGAGCCAGAAGAGGATATTTGTAAGTGCCATACACAAGCTCTTAGCAACCTGGGATGCTCTGGACAGCGTCCCGCCCAGCTCCTAGCAACCAGTCAGCATGCACCACCAGCAAACACCGACCCGCCCAGGAGGTGAAAGGGCTAGGGAGACCCCTTGGACCTTTGGATACCTAACCTGGCTCTCCCCAATGCTGTTTACTGAGCCCTGATCCAAAGCTAATTAAAGAATCCTAGACCAGGAAGGATGTCAGATCCTTAAAGTGATAGGAGCTGCATATAAGTTATAATTTTAAAAAATATGGTTACCTAACCACTGACCACCACACACATACAGTAGCCCAGGCCTTGGTATGTGGCACTGGCACTGTGCATGTGAAATCATAATAGAGCAGAGGTACCAGAAGTCACATGCATACATAAGCTATGTGTAGCAAAAATTAAAAGATTAGACCTCAGAAAAACCTGCCTAATAGGCGGCCCTGCTGGCTCTCAAAATACCTGAACAATGCCTGCATCCAATCAGATTGTTCAGGTATGTGGACAGCCAGCGGGGCTGACTAGCAAGATACTGAAGCTTGGCCCAGTGGGAGATTCCTCCATCTACACAGTTTAGCGTAGCTGGAGGAATCTGTAAGCAATTTGCAAATACAGGCACCAGAGAAAAGAGCAACTCCCTACACTGTCTTGCTGAATGAAATCACCTGGGCATACTGTAGTCAGTGATTTCTGGTGAAAGGTTTGCTTAAATCAGACATGCACGATACAGTCTGGTTGTACAATCTCCTTTTCATCTACCAAAAATAATATTGTGCAAGTGCCTACCTGACAAGATACAAATTTAATAAAATGTTTAGGAGGGCCTCACATATTATCATTTTGGTCTTATATATATTACTGGCTGTAATGTGTGTAGCCGGTTTAATTATCCTGTGGTAAACAGATGCTCAGCAGCAGAGTATTTTGTACTCTACAATATGGGTAAAGTTGTAGTGTTGGAGATCTCTTTGACGTATGTCATGGCTCTGTTTCCAACCACAATGGAGTTTTGGGAGTTCCCTATCCTCTGCTGTGCTCTAAATTATTAAAAATACATACACAATTGTAAAAGGTATATTTAGGACCCGCTTACAATGGCTTTGGTAGACATGAAGACCTAGGAGCTAAAGTGTAAAGATCTCACAGCTATACAACTCAGCAAATATAGGAGAGGTGAGCGGGTTTAACTTGCTGCCATTTAGTGAAATAGCAGTTTGAGGTGTACTGACCCTTTAAGGTTTCAGTAAAGTGTTATTATTGTGTAAATAGTCCACCACGGTCACCACTGAAACTGAACTTTCCGTTTCTTACAGAAGTGATATCAATGGAGAACAACACTTGATCAATGGACATCTTGAACTGAGCACAGAGCAGGAGCAGAAGAGTACACGTTTATAAGCTGCACCAAAAACAAATGTTACAGCATGTTTTCTATGAATGCTCACTCTGTGATAGACTATAACCACAATACAATTTAGTAAAGTGAATGTAAGATTGTAGTCCATCCCGGGAGCGTTCTTGGAGCGGCGACTACTTTACAACACACAGGGGACAATGAGAAACAAAAGTAGTCACCCTCCAGAAGGAAGGACAATGTCAGCACAATTTCAGAGATGATTTGAAGATCTACAGCCGAGCGATATACAAATAAGATAAATTTTTGTTAATAGTTAAAAGAGAACTATGGGGTAAGTGTTTTTCCCAGGGACATGATCGAGAAGTGAGCGAGCGACGGTATGTGTTCGCTCACTTCCCTATCTATTGTGCCGACATCTGACAGTTTAATTGTCACACGTCAGCTCGAACTATGAGGTTGATTGATTTTCACTCACCTCATAGTTCTCATTTAAGGTACTTGAATGCATTTTTTTAGGTTTAACTCCCGAGTGAATTCCCTTGGAATGTGAACAACCTATTTGCCATTAGTAAATCAACTGCAAAATTCCTGTTTATATCTTTACTTAAAAATAAATAAAATCTTTTGGCTGCAACTACCATTTTCCTTTTAATTGGATGCCCTATTAAAGGAAATGCATACAATTATCTATTGGAGACCCTATGAAGTAAAAAAAAACCCCATAAAGCAAAACACCATTACTTAATGCAAATATGTTTGTTTATTATGTAAGAGTAAAAACAAAGAGATTGTCACAGACAGTAGTGCATGAGAGATACAAAACAATTTCTTGAGAAAAGTAACTATACAAAGGTCAATTATTTTTCTATAAATGTAACATTTCAAGGCATACAACTCTATAAAAACATCACTTTGGCATGATAATAAATTATTCTGGAATATTTAAATACTCTAAAACATTTGTATTTTAAGAAAAGCATACACGTTATAATAGAAGTAAAGCTGAAAAATTAGGACCTTATTTTGCTGAATATTTGTTCACAAATGTTCACATTGCCTTGAAAAATGAATTATACAATATTTGGCAAGTATGTCAGGTGGGGGGATTGCATGCCATAATATGGTATAGATAAGTTTTGATTTCCCACCACAGCATACCATATGTCATAGTTCAACTAAATTCATAGGACTGAGAAGGCAAGTGTGTTGTCTAAATTAAGACATTCTTATGGTATTTCCTGGGTGATCGTAATGTATCCACTTTGTGAGGTACAGTATAAAGTAGATTTTTTACATAGCCCTTTGGGATTGTTTATGTTATTATTTCTAATTTCATATTTAAATACTAGGTTAAAGAAAGATGGGTTAGTTGCCTTTAGCAACCAGACTTCATTCCTTTTTCTAGCAGAGTGGAAAATGAATGTTAACATCAGACTGGTTTCTTTAGTTTTTTTCTATTAATAAAGTAACCCATTTGTCTTTAAATTAATGTACATGTTAATTCTTATGTATACAATTTTCAATATAACTTTTAGTATTTATTAATTCATTGTGTTTTATATTCATATATCTGTACAATACCTCCTTGCTTAAAAAAACAACACATGGACCAGCAATAGTAGTTATTGCAATAACAAATAATATTGCACTTTGTTATTGCTATCTTACACTTTATTATTGCAATACAATAATAAACTGTTATTGCATTAACACTAAATATCTGATGAAAGCAGAAGAAAACAGGAAATAAATTACTGACTTATTAATGTGGAATACTTGTCCTGGCCTACAATAAGTGGGTCTTTGTCTTGTAAGAAATTCTACGCTTAGTATTCAATACTGCTGTTTGAATGGTAAAATATTTTTCTTTTGAAGCATTTGACATTTGCTCTGTAGCACAGAGTGTAAGGCTTGATCTGGTGAAAATACTAACACGTTTTAACAAAATTGACATTAAAAATAACTTAAAGTTGTAAAAGCTGGAATCAGAATTTGGACATTTATTTTTTTTCCTAATAACAATTTTGTCTGTGAACCATGATCAGAATCTTACTAGAATCTTTAGTTAACATTTACAAGGTATTACAATCCATTGCAGTCTTGTATATCATGACTAGAGCAGTTCAGAATAAAATTAGAATGTGTTCTTGGGCTCTCCAATAAAGTCTTATTTTTTGGCTGGTTTTGAGTTGGCAAAAGTAACAAACACAACACCTGTGTCATTTCCTTGGCTGTTGGAATTTTCCACTGGTGGCGTTACATGCCTTCTAAGAAGAGGAGAGGCAGTCACCTCATACCGGGGAGTAGCTGATACTACTTCATACGTCGAAGAAGTCTGTGCGTCTGATTGTTTAGTTACTGTTGTAGATGTCTTAGACCTTATAATTTTGTTGCCAAATTGATCAGATTCTTCATATTTTTCTGTCACTATTGTTGTTCCAATTACTTTAGGTCCTTCTGGTCCAGTTTTCAATTCCAGAACACTTTTTTGGCGTTGAGAGCCAGGACTTGATGGTGTGTTAATGTTCACTTTGGCATTTGGCTCATAAACTGCTGGAATGCCAAGATGGCTAGCTGAGGGACATTGACCATTGTCATTTGAAATACTCAACTGAACAAAGGGGTCTGTGCAGTCTTGACCATTTTTGTTTGAAATTGTTGTTGAGGATGAACAGTTTCCATTTTGTTGCAATGACTTTCTGGCTGTAGATTCTATGCTAATAAATGATGGGGATGTAGGAGACAGACGACTTGGAACAGCATTCACCTCCAGCTCTCTTTTCTTATTTTCCGTTACTTCTTGACTGTTCACAGCATCTACATATTTTTGTCCAAATGATTGTGTGGTCTTTTCTGGTTTTGACTTACTAGAAACAATGCTGATTTTTCGAATATTGTTGGTTGTACTTGATGAAGTTTCAAGAGATTCTCGGAAAAGGCTTGAAAGACTTGCGATGTCAGACTCTGATTTTAAACTTGAAACAGAATATAGCGCCTTCTTAACTGTTTCCTCAATATCTAGTAGCCTTGCTAATGTCTGTTCTTTTAAATACTTAATTTCAACACTTGCCCTTTCAAGATCCTCAAAGGCAAGTTCCACTGATGAGACACTTTCTGTATCATCCTTTAGCATTTCAAAGCTTTCATCTTTGCGCCCTTCTTGTTGCTTCAGAAGTGGGGTTGCTCTTTCTTTACTGCTTGCGATCCAATCTGGAACAGTCTCAAATAAACCCCTTACGGACGTCACATCTACATTACTGGTCTCTTCTTCCAATTCTTCAACTTTTTTCAAAATCATCTCAAGTTCATCTTGCTTTCTCAAGTTTTCAAAAATGTCTGTTGCTGCTTTGACATTATCCTTCATAATTTCATCCATATGGATAGATAATCGTTTGCGCTTTTCATCTTCTGTTTCTTTTCTTTTCTTTACCCTCATTACAACGCCTTTGGTATCACTGTGATTACAACAGTCTTTTGATTCTGTTAGTGTGATACTTGTCTTGTCTGGTGCTTTATCTTTATTCTCTATAGGTTTGTGGATTGTGGATTTATCTTCTGAAATGGGTTCTAACTGTCCTGGTACTGCTGTACAAGCTTTTTCATTGCTGACTAATGTAGTTTTTGGCATTGATGTACATTCATCCTCAAAGATTTGGCTTTTGGTCGTAATTCTATGCCTTTCATTGAATTTCAAATCTGTATTGTGGGAAAATATTTCTTTTTTGGATACCTCATTTTCCTCTATTCCAAGAAAAAGGTTAGCAGGTTTAGATGGACCATCGGTATTAGCATGAACCTGTTTGGACTCATTGCCTGGACATGTTAAAATTGTGGAACAGTTACCAGTTGGAATAGTAGGTGGTGGAGATGAAGCTGGTGTTGAAGTCATGGGAGCCTTAGCTCTGTAACGAGGAGGGGGGCATTTACCTGGGAGAAGATGTTTTGGCTTTGGTGGTGGCACTGGTTTTTTTCTTTGTGTTGCCTCAAAGGTTTTCGCATTCTTGTCAGATGTGTTTTCACTTGCCTTTTGGGTAATAGGACCAGGAAACTTCGGTACTGGATCATTCATCTTTTCAGAGTCATCTTTTGTTGAATCAGCATTACTTGTATTAGATGGTTGGCACTTCTCTTGTCCAGTTACAGCAGCTGAAGAAGGAGGAGAGTCAATGTCAGAGGGTTGTACTGACTTAGTGAACGTTTCATTTTTAATTTGCTGTTCATTGTCCTTTTTTTTTCTAGTAGCATAAGACTGGCCTGCATTTCTGTATATCATAGCTGCTTTAAAGTCACCCTTTGATACATTAACATTAGATTTTTGGAGGGACTGAAGGGCAGATGTTAAATTACCTTTTACAACTTCTTCCTTTTCTGTTACTTTTTGTTCTGTTGAAGCATTCTGTAATGCTCTGATTGCTGCCTTTACATCTCCTCTAACAATTTCTTGGTCTCTTTCCTCTTGCTCTAATTGTGTTGTATATTCATCATCAATAAAGGGATTTAAATAATTTTTTACTTGTTTGGGTGACTCAGAATTATCTGTAAAACTGTTATCTCCTGCAACAGAGATCTCTCTACTCCTCTGTGCAGCCTCTTTCTCCTCCTCCTCCTGAGAAACACTGACCTTTTTTGTGGAGGTGGTAGATTTCTGAAGACTTGCATAAGATGTCCGTGTTTCTTGAGCTTTAGTTGTTACACTTATGATATGCTTTGCAGATGCACATTCTTGATGCAATGTTGCTTGAACAGGTTTAACCGTATTTTCATCCTGCTTTGTAAGTTGAACTTCTTGGTTGGTTTTCTGAATCTTGCATTGAACTTGTTTTTGAATACTTGTAGCTTCAGCCGTAACTTGGCGCAAATCCAACAATGCAGCTTGAAGATCAGTCTTATCTCCACAAGCCTTCCCCACTGCATTGGAGGGGAAACCCCCAGCACAACACTCTGATGTAGACTGGTTTGATTCTTCAGCTATGTGTTTGCTGGCTGTTGATTTCTGCACTATAGAGCTGATTTTTCTTGAATTATTCAGAGTGATGTCTTGTTTCTCTAGTTTGCACCCTGTTGTAGCCTTTTGGTTGTTAGTAGCTTCAGTAGTATCTACTGTTCTGCATTTTTGCAATTGTTGCTGAGGTTGTACAGCATAGAATACAGGGGTGGGTGCAATATATACACATTCTGGATTTCTGGTGCTTTGATTATCTTTTTGTACTGCTGTACCTTGTTGCTCAGTGGAAGTTGTTTCTTGGTTAACGGAATCTTTCTGAGATAATGTAAGAGCATCTATTTCTGACTCAGCTTGAAGACTTTTTAAGTACCCCAGATCACCTTTCTCAATACAGCTTGTGTATAACTGAACACTTCCTTTCTCATTTTGCTCATGTGTCACTGAAAGCTTTGGTTTGCTGTCCTGACCACAAAGAAGTTGAGAACCGATAGTGGATTTGACATCCCCTTTCGCAACAACCTCACCAGCCTTATTAAAATTACAATGTGATGAAAGAGAGTAGATGATAATTTTTACAGATCCCCTTTCTGATTCTTCCATTATAATGCCAGTTTTGTAAGAGTCATTTTCATTGCGCAATATGTTTAGGGCTTTAGCTACATCATCTTTAACAGATGCTGTGTCTTCTTCTTTTGACTGAATTGTATTTAACATATTTAACTTGGTAATTTGTAGATGCCTGCTATCGGTTTCCTCAACTAGGAGCCCATGGGGTTCAACATCAGTTCTGTGGAGTAACTGTAAGAGTATCCTTTGAAGGTTACCCCCAACAGTTTCTTCTTTTTGGATATCCACTTTAGTTTGTGTTGATAACTGATATTTTATCATTTTCACATTCCCACCGTGGATGTTTTCTATGACAATTCCTTTATTTTGAATGATTTTGCAGGAAAGAAATGCATCAAGGCTATCTTTTATGTTTATTTCACTTTGTTGAGTACTAGTTGAATATTTTAAGTCAATTTTGTCAATAGGCGTACTTTCAAATAGCCATGTGGTACTTTTTACATTAGCTTTTGGAATAACTTCCATGGTCTGAGGAGTAACTGTATCTTCCATATCTTTCAGGCTATCTAGAGGTTGAGACTCAAATAACCAAGTGCATCTCTTGACATCACCCTTTTGGCTATCTTCTCTTTGCACTTTAATTATACCCTGATGTTCTTGATCTTCCCCCTTCAGGGTATCAATAGGCTGGTTTTCAAAGAGCCATGTAGAAGTTCTGACATTTCCTTTCTGAACATCACTAACACTAACCAGTCGGACATACTTCTTCTGGCTCACTTGTTCTGTTTCAAAAAGCTGTTTATTTACTTGAACATCACCTTTTTGAATGTCATCAACGGTCCTTACAGCATGCTTTGCAATATCAGTGATGGTATCAAGTGGTTCTGTCTCAAATCTCCATCGTGCAGCCTTTACACAGCCCTTCTCAATATCTTCTTGTGTCACAGCTCTGATAATAAATACCTCCTCATCTTTATTGATCCTGTCAAAAGGTTTGGTTTCAAACAGCCATTTTGCACCTCTCACATCTCCTTTGTGGATCTCTTCTTTTTTTACTGATGTCACCTCATGGTAATCACCACTTTTGTCTTGTATAGCATATAGTGGCTTGGTTTCAAAAAGCATGGTACAGGATTTTACATCTGCTTTGGTAAGAGTTTCTTGCACTTTACTTACTTCCTTCTCATCAAACTCCTGATGGATCTGATCTAAAGAAAAGGTTTCAAAGATGAATTTTTTCCCTCCAACATCACCCCCTTGGGTATCTTTCTCAGGGGGCAGTTCTTGAAAACTATTTTTGTTGTCTTGTATAGAATCCATTGGGCAATTTTCGAAAAGCCAGGTGAATTTGTTTACAGAGCCAACCTGTATATTTTCTTCTGTGGGAATATCTGTTTTGCATAAAGGAACTTGTTCAGGTGGCATTGTTTCGAAAATCTCCTTCACTCTAGAAACTTCACCTGTTTGGATTTCAACACGACTTGCATACCTAATCATTTTTGGGAACTCCCTAGAAGCGGAAATACTGTCTAAAGGTTCAGTCTCAAACAAATGTTTGGTTGTTTTTACATTGACACATTCTAAATCACTTTGAGAAGCACTGCTCACTTTAATGTAATGTTCTTCTGAGTCTTTTATGGAATCTAAAGGTTGCGTTTCAAACATCCAAGTGTAGGATTTAACATCACCCTGAACTAAAGCTTCCTTTTGTGGTTTCTCTGATTTATCGTACAAAATATCAATGGGTTGGGTTTCAAAAAGCCATCTGCATTTCTTCACATCACCTTTCTGTAAGACTTCTTTCTGGGTAGCACATTGCTCATCTTTTGAAAAGACATCAACAGGCTGAGTTTCAAAGAGCCACCGGGCCGTTCCTACATCACCTGACACAATCTCTTGCTTAGTGATACCTTTAATTAGGTCAACTTTTTGGGTGCCGTCATTAAATTGATCCAGTGGTTTTGTTTCAAACATCCATTTGTAATTTTTAACATCACCACTTACTATTTGCTCCCGACTGACAGATGTAACTTCATGATAATTGCCTAAACTGTCTTCAATAGCATACAGTGGTGTATTTTCAAACAGTGCCTGAGTTGCCTTTACATTTCCTGCTCTTATATCTTCCTCATTAGAGACTTGAACACTCTGAGTGGATTTAATGCTATCCAGGGGAAGTGTTTCAAAAAGATTTTTAAATGACTTCACTTCCCCTTTAACGATATCTTTTGTGTCTTCTTCAGTCTGTTCACTAGATTCTTCTTTGTTAGAAATTTTGTCCAGTGAACACGTCTCAAAAACATGTTTCCTTTGTTTGACATCTCCCTTTTCTTCACTTGACAGTTCAACCTTTTTCATCTGGCCAACTTCCAAGCTTCCTTTGATTGTCTCCATTGGTTGTGTTTCAAATAACCATAATGTAGACTTCACATCGCCAGCAACAATTTCTTCTCTGGTTGCAGTTTTAATGTCAGCGTTGCCATTTATGGAGTCCAGATATTCCTGCTCAAATACATTGCAGTGCTTTGAGATATCCCCTTCTTGGATTGTGTCTCCAGATGCCTGAAATACTCCTTCTTCTATGTGCTCTTTTATTGTGTCCAAGGGTTGCGTTTCAAATACCCACTTTGTTGCATTCACTCCACCCTTCGCAATCTCCTCCAAGGAAATCCCTCTGATAATCTGCACTTTAGAGGTATCCTTGTGAATACTGTCCAATGGTTGGGTTTCAAACAGCCATCTTGCTGTGTTTACATTGTTGCTCTGTGTTTCCTCTCTACAAACAGATTTAATTTCATGTATATTTCCTGTTTTGTCTCTGATTGCGCAGAGAGGCTCAGTCTGGAACAGTTTAATAGTTTTGTTTACATCTCCCTTCATCTCCTGTATTTCAGATTTGAGCTGAAGGATACTGTTTTCTTCTACAGAGTTGCAGCGGCCTACTTCATCTAGAGATTGCGTCTCAAAAAGCATTTTGGTGCCCTTCACATCACCTTTTTCGACTGTGTCTTTTAAGACAGCCTCTTGAACCTCTGTACCCTCGGGATATATTTTGTTCAATGAATCAAGTGGCTGGGTTTCAAACAGCCACAAGGCTGTCTTCACATCACCTTTTCTTTGATCTGTTCCAAGTATGACAGCAGAGGACCTCTTATCATCTACACATGTCTGACCTTGAAACATCAGAGATGTATTTCTGACATTTCCACCAAGTACATCCTCTTCTTCAGTCAATTTCCGATTACGTTGATGTTCTCCGATAGTATCCAGCTTCCAGTTTTCAAAGATCCAACGCATGGATTGCACCTCTACTGGCAATCCTGCATCCAGATTGACTGAAGCTGGTTGGTTAGGCTCATCTGTGCTTAATAATTCATTAATGTCTCGGGTTACAGCATGTTCTAAGTTTTTCCTCAACTCTGGATGCATATGGCGATAAAGTCTTTTTAGCTCATTCACTTGCCGCTGCTCATAGAACTTGGAAAATGACTCTTTTGGTGGTGGTGGAGGCAGGTAGCCTTGATCTTGTGCACCAGTTACCATTACTGTATGATGTGCAGATTCGGGGGGAGGTGGTAAAGGTAGATTAGCATCAAACTTCTTTTCTTGAGATGATTTCATTATGTTGTCTGCCATCTTAGGAAGTAAGAAAACACATTTAACACTCCAAAGTTTTTTATTCCTAATATATTGTTGATTAAAATGGTTAGCACTAGCGCATGCACATGCACATACATATACAAAAACGTATCATATATTCACAGGCTTTTCACTGGTGCATTTTAATTTTGAAAGTGTGGGATAGGAAACTAATAAATGCAATTTGGTATTAGTAAACATAAAAAATATTTTCTAAAATGTCAGCCAAGAATAGTTAACCATAAATAAAGGAGATTGGCATTGTCAGATTTCACTGCCTATCTTGGGAGAAAACAGTAATGATTGTTTTTTTTCTTTAACCTGCCTGATCCAATTGTTCCCTGGAGAGGCTTTGGCTAATAAATGTCTGCAGCACCCATAAACATGAGATGAATTTTGTTTGGAGTTGCATCTCTTGTTTATGAGAGGATTAAAGTGATGTCATTTTAACAAAATAAAACAAAAAATAGAAAGCTGCTGACATTTTCATTCCTATTAATGCATGCGCTCTAACTAGCCCATTACTGTGATGGCCTTTCAATAGAAGCTTGCGGGAGGTAGGAGGTGGCAGGCAAGCTGCAAGATGTTTCACTACCAGAAAGTACTGAAGCTTTACCCGATCAGAACAGCTGGCTTTTAGTCAGAGTAAGTGGACTAAAATCGGCTACAGGTATATTGTATGGGGCACCTCTTGTAACCTGTAATTTAACCCTGTCAGTTGATTTTGTTTTTAAATATGAGAGGGATTTTACAGTATTATGCCATTTTAAAAGTAAAATTAGCAGGAGCAAAAAGTTTTATTAAATATTAAGCTCTTTTGGGGCTTAAAAGTAAATAAAAGTGCTAACAGAGGCATTTCTTGTTGCCCATAGCACCCAGTCAGAAACCCTGTTCCATTTTTAAACTTGGGCCGCAGAAATGAGAGATAGAAGCTCATTGTTTGCTATGAGTAACAATTGTTTCCTATAGCATGCTAGATTAGATTTATTATACCTTTACAGCTCAGAAAGAGTTGTCTATACAGAAATTTTGTTTATTATCTTCTATGTCTTCTGGATCTGAAAGAAAACATATAATAATGACTGAAACATAACATGACATAACTGAAAATGTTTAGCCAAACAGCCAAACTATCCGTCATATCTTTCTGTATGTGTGACTGTAAAATCAGCATTTTGAACTTTAATAACTGCTGTGAGAACATAACTATCATACAAACCAACTGGAGAGGGTATTGTATTAAACACCATGGTTATGATTTACAAAAGATGAGGTAAAGTGATGATGCGCTCACTGCCAGAAAACTAATTGTGTGCACAGGAATTAAATAATATAACATGCCTATATTTTTTGAACGCCAGTTAACTTTGCTTTACTTCAATCTTTCCTTTTGTGTATGCTAAGATCAAAATCATCAGCAATATTCCCACAATTTTCAACATAAACTTCACAGAGAGAAATTTTCTTATATTTTGTATTCAGATTAATACAGTAAAGCTTATTCATTGAGCTAAATGGTTTTTGGAAGTGGCCATAAACAATGAATAGGTATGCATAAAGTTTATAATTTATATACAGGTGAAACTCGAATAATTAGAATATCGTGCAAAAGTAATTGCAGTAAGTGCTGCAAAAGGGGCCCAAACCAAGTACTGAGTACATATGCATGCTTGTACTTTTCAGAGGTCCGATATTGTTCTATGTACAATCCTTGTTTTATTGATTGCATGTAATAATCTACTTTTTTGAGGTTGTGGATTTGGGGTTCTTGGGGGTTTTCATGAGCTGTAAGCCATAATCATCACAATTATGACAAATCACGGCTTGAATTATCTTGCTTTGCATGTAATGAGTCTATCTCATATATTAGTTTCACCTTTTAAGTTGTATTAGTGAAATAAATGAACTTTGCACGATATTCGAATTATTCGAGTTTCACCTGTATATGTTTATATATTTAAAATGGCCAAGAGAAACAAGTTTACTGAAATCAATGAGATAGCATTTACTGTACATCTCTATAAAAACACATCAGATATTTACTGGATAACAACAACATTTATAAAATTAATGGAAATAAATGTAAAGGATTTAAAGTGACACTAAACTCCTTCCATCTGAAGGGTGGCTACTTTTGTTCCCCATGGTCCCTGTGTGTGTTGTAAAACAGCCACCGCTCCAAGTTTGCTCCCCTGATGGGCTACAATCTGAATACAAATAGGAAAACTAAATGTGAGGTTGTAGTCCATTACAGAAGTGAGCTTGGAGCGGTGGCTCCAGAAGGAAGGGCAGCGTCAGTATGAATTCAGAGATGATTTGAGGATCTACAGCTGAGTGATACACAAATAAGATACATTTTTTTAATGGTAGGTAAGGTACCTGATTGCATTTTTAAGCTTTAACTCCTGGATTTAGTGTCACTTAAAAAAAAAGAGAAAAAAAAGATTGTGTGTTAAGAGTGCTGTTGTACTTTTCAATGCAGTAACTCATAGGAAAAATAATTAATTTCTCCAATGGAGGCAGTAATTGAAATCTGATGACTTAGACCCTTTGGATTCTACTCTTTGGGTATCTGCACTGCTCTATTCATTGTCTCCCAAAATAAGTCAAAATTTGTATAATACTTACGGGGTTTCTATTGCCCACAAAATCCAGCAAATGTCTTTAACGTGTCATGAAAGTCTTCTTCGTGAAATTGTTAATGAAAATAAAAAAGTGTGAAGATTCCCTCAGAGGGGATAAATCTGCTTTTCTTGGCTGAACGCTTCGGATTCTGTTTTTTTTTTGTATTCCTGTTACGAATGTTCTCATCTGCAAGGGAGAAATTAGGATTCCTTGTTAGAACAGTTCACAGACTGCGCTCATTACAAGTCATTCTTCATTAAGTGTTACATTTCTACATAACTAAGCTGTTCATACATGTTGGGTGCTTGTGTGTTCTGTCAGTTGCACGGCGCTTAGCAGTCTGTAAGCTAATCAGAGCAAAACAGAACGCAGTATTTAATATGTCATCCCAGCTCCATTGCAGGCAAGGAGTATGTGATCTTTGATGGGTTCTGAGAAGGAAAACCAGGACAAGTCATGTTCAAGTCTCCTTATGGTCTATTCATACCTACCATCTATATGGAAACTCTGTTTGTCCTATTAGACGTTGTGCCATATCCCCCTCCTATACTATGGTGTACCCATGGACTGCCAAATGCAGTGCATCTAGCAAGTGAATAATTAATGAAAGATTGATTAAGTGATCAAAGTCGTACACATAGGGGGTCTACTTATAGAGGTGTTTTTTTTCACACTTCTTAATTTTCATCCTACCTTCACATCAACTACAACACTTCCAGGAATGATGAATGCATGAGTCCCCCACCGCACCCTGTGTTTTGTTCCACTAGCCCCTTCATGTCTTGTGGTGACGTAGAAGCTGGCAGGAGGAACCACAATGTCAAGTGGGGGACTTATGCATCTGACACACTCCAGAGTATGTTGGATGTAAAGAGGCTGTAGCTTTGCAAGAGAGTGAAGTTTGAAGGAATGGGCAATGGGACAGGTGATCATAAACATTCTTCTTTTAAAGCCCCTACACATCAACAAGGACGCTTTACGCTTAGCTTTAGTAGCGTTATATAAGAATTATTGGTTTCTACAAACCCATAAAGGTGAGAAGCTTTATTACATTACCGGAAGAAAATCCTTCTTATGCAATATTGTATTATATCTCTCCTTGTATATTGTTACACACGCATGTATATAGTATAGCATTGTAATAATATTGTAAGTAAACCCATTAGGACAGAACAGGTTACGAAGAAAGCCACGTCATGCATAATAATAAGTCAGGTACAGGATAACCTTTGACATGGTGTTAGATGGCTACGCCATAAAACAATTGAACAGTCCTCTGTAAATTAGCACAAGACATATTGGAGAGTTCATGACAAGAATGAACCTCATTATCTTTGGGCCTACTTTAGACTTCTTTATCCGATATTCAGGTTCAATTCTTTATCACTCTTTGGTATGTACTGTTTTTGAGTTCCTGGGAAAACACATCGGCTGTGACCCATATGGGGGTTCTCACGTTTCCTGCTGGATTAATAATTTTTTTTATATGATGGAGAATGTTACAGGAGATGCTGGATCATACCAAGGTGAGTGGGAACACATACAATTCCATAATAGACAGGAACAGAGTCACAAATTATGTTAAGGAGGAGTAAGTTCTGGAGTGTTCAGGACATTGATAGCCAAGATCTAATTCAGCCAAATACTAGACAAATATCTGAATATCACTTTGCCTTGGACTGGCCCTTCTAGTTTTACAATCAGCTTATAATTTTCATTGCTGTCCTATTTTTAGCTTTGTATGGAAAAGGCCCATCAGTAAAACTAAAGAGTCAGAAGGTGGAAAGCTGAATGACCTCTGAACACACAAACACAGTGAGTTATTTGTCCTTAAAATGTATTTTCTGTTGTTTTGGATAGTGTAGAGAAGGATTAGAACCTTCATCAGTTTTGTATTGCTTCCTTTGTTCCTACTGCTGAGATTGACCTTCTCCATTTGTCCTGGTAACAGTGTTAATTTCGTTGTCCAATAATTTTCGTCATGGTTTTCATCAACAACACTTTTTCAGTGACTAAAACTAAATAAAAACGACGTTATGATGACTAAAACTATAACCAAAATATATTATTATTTTAGTCGACTAACTGAAACTAGACTAAAATGTTAGGGAGAGACGATTTGGGAAGAAATCCATTCAGAACTAATCTCTTTGGACTTCCAGTTCCGGATCCATTCTGAAAGGACGGATATTAGGTATTATGTGCAATGGCATTACAGCCAATATAGTTTTTCATTTTAATATTTTGTAGTTGCACTTCTGCTTGAAAGAATGAAGAATGTAACATGCAAGTTGTTATAATCAATGCATATCTTACTGATCATTTGTTTAAAATAGTCAATATTATTGTTTCTTTATAAGATTTGGTTTATT